GAGCAGAAAGCCTCATCTTTCTCCCGCGGAACAGCTGGTAGTTTCGAACTGCTGACCTTGCGGTTCACAGTCCGATTCGTAACCACTGTGCTACCGGAGCTCCATAGTGATGTCAAATTCAAAAGGATCCATGGTAGCGCTGTGGTTAAGCACTCAGCTGCTAACTGTAAGCTGCTCTGCTGGGGAAAGATGAGGCCGTCTGCTCCCCAGAAGGTGAAAGCTTTGGGATCCTTTTGGAATAGTTCTACCCTGTCCTGTCCAGTCACTATAAGTCAGGTCCAACTCTACAGTGATGTGAAAGTGTTCAACCATATATGTATTGTTAATAAAAATAGGTGTTAAAATTTACTATCCATCAGATAGTCATCCCAAAATGCACAGGTAGTAGAACCTGTGGAGTTTCCAGTAGGCGACTTGAGTCTGAGGTCCCCTAGAGAGACATATTTGTCCTCCTCCGAGAGACCTCAGGTCATTCTTCGTCCCACAGATAGTCCTTTGGGCTTTGAGGCTTAAGCCTGAGTTTGAGATGCGTGTTTTCCATGCTCCCTGAGTGCCCCTTTTACCTTATTTTGCTGAATTAACTATTGTATCTCCCACCCACGGAGGAAAAACTTGATTTCTTCAAAATAAATAAATAGCAACTTGTTCAGCCCATGGACCACAACTTGTCCCTGGCCTGTTGTCCAGCTCTATAACTAAGCATAGGTCTTTGCATTTTTAAAGCTTGTAAACAAAGAAGAAGAAAGTGTGGCGAAAGAGCCCCAGAGACCTCTGTGACCCACGAAGCCCACCCTACTTAGAGGGTGGCCTTCTACGGCGAGTGCTTGCTGACCCCTGTTCTAAATAGTTCTTTTGGGTGGGTGGGGTGCTGGAGAGGAGGTATGCCGTCTGTGTTTTTCTTAAAACAGTGTATTTTAATTTCTTATAGAAGCTGATCTAAGCATGAGAAATGCTTGCAGTTGGGTTTTTATCATCTGTTTAGGTATGGCTGGCAGCTGGAGTTTTATTCAGTTTTCATTTTTATATTTATTGAGAGTTTGCTGGGGCCTAAACAGTAAGGTTTTCATCAAACTTTAAAATGGCTGTCCTTTCAGGATCCCAGAGACGAAAGGTGTGGGGGACATAGTCCCACTCATGCCCTCAAGTTTTTTCCTACCGTGGGGATAGGTTAATTAGTGGGAAGAAATGAAGAGCATACTGACTGCTAAATTCAGCCCCCCCCCCCAAACCTAGCAACTGCTACCATTAACCAAATCATCATAAAGCATGTTTCCTTTTTCCCCTCTTTAGTAAGATTTGATTACACCTTGCAGACAATGGTATGAGAACTTCAAATAGTCTTATTACATGTTTTATGTACTTGTCAAAGTGCTCATGAATCCTTAAGAAAGAGAAAATTCAGATCTGGTTTAGTGCCATCGTAGTCTTGATGGTGGCACTTTATTGCTGTCTTCTCGATTTAATCGAGTGAAGATCATGGTTGGCCCAAGCCGTTGGTACAATGCTTTTTCGGTGGATTCTGGTAGGGATTTTTGGTTGGGGTGTGTGTGTGTGTATTTTTAAGATGATGATTTCTTTAAAACCACCACGGCTCTTCTGGGAATGAAGAAATGTCAGAACAGCCATGCAAGGAATCTTAGCAGCGTTAAATAAGATTAACATACACGGTGAGGTGGATGGAGCTGACTGACCAACTGCCCCGCGTGGCTGCCGAGTTAGTGTGTGTCCGAGAGCCAGGTGAAGGGCTTTCTCCTCAGGTTTCCCTGTGACCTCCCGTTCTGGGGGGAGCTGTGAGGTGACAATTTTGAGACAGTAGTAGTGGCTGGCTGCCCTGAGCTGGTGCTGGTGGACCACAGCCCAGGAGGCTGAGCTGGGTTCAGAACGCTGTCCTGTTTCCTTTGCTCTCATAGTAGTTTGTTCAGCCATCTAGAGAGATGCTCCTTGTCGCCCATGCTCACCAGTTTGCCGAATCTGAATTTCCTTGCTGTGGGATGCCAAGCTTTAGATTCGTGGGGTTGTGGACACGTCTCGCTGCTTTTCACTTGGCCCTAATTACAATCTGCAATGACAGTTTAAGTTTTATTTGAATTGCCTTTTGGTGGGCTGCCCTGCCTCACTGACCTCTGTCCTCTCCCTCCCCTGGTTGCTCCCTGCAGCCTGTGCCCTGGGAGCCCTGGGGCCCTGACCTGCTCAGTGGTGTCTGAAAGGCTTCTCAGGTAACGGGAGACTAGCTTCAAGGGTGGGGGTGCAATGCCCTCTTGTGTCCCCTGAGGTCAGGAGGAGGTGCCTCCCTCTAAGTTTTGGATGTTCTTCTCGGCTTTTCTGAAATCTCTGAGAGGGGGACTGGAGGAGACGTTGTTGTTGTTTAGTGCCGTTGAGTGGGTTTGAACTCATAGTGACTCTGTATAAGGTTTCCGTGGAGCAGCTGGTGGGTTTGAACTGCCTGCCTATGGCTCACAGTTCAGTGCTGATCCTACAGTGCCACACCAGAAGTCCGGGGGAGAAGTTAGTGGTTCTAAAAATTGCTGCAGGCTTGGCAGCCCCTTTCTAACAGAAGTAGGAAAGGTTCAGCAAATAGACCTGCCTGTGAGCAACTTCAGTCTAGAATATCAACTTTTAGGTAAATTGTCCATGGAAAGTGATAAAATGAATGACTTTGAAATGGCTTCTGAAGCTCTGTCCTCTAATAAGCAACAACCCATTGCTGTCAAGTGGATTTCGGCTCAGTGACCCTTAGGATAGAATTGTTCCATAGCATTTCTGAGATTAAATCATTTTGGAAGCAGACTTTCTCATCTTTCTCCCACAGAGCAGTTGGTGGGTTTGAACTTCTGACCCTTTGGTTAGTATTCCAACGCTTAGCCCACGGTGCCACCAGGGCTCCTTGAATTAGTGAGAGGGGATACTAAAACGAATGGGATTGCAGCGTGTGTCTGTTTGTCACTGAGGCATTTCCTGGCCTGAGAGACCTAAAACAGTGGAGACCCCTGTTGCATGAGGCACAATCTCACGCTTTGCCGATCTACTCATCTGTGAAGATGGGGCCTGGAAACTCACTTTTTGTCTTCTCTCCTAGGTGCCTTGTTATGCATTTGATGCAGAGTTCAAGAAGCGTGATTTAAATCCGTTGATCAAGAGCAGTGGCGGTTACCTGGTCGATGATTCTGATCCTGACTCGTCTCTCTTCATCAACATTTGCAGAGACATAGGTCTGAGTCTTTGTGGGGCTAGGAGCCCCTGGGGGTCAAGAATGTTTTAAAAGCCTTCTTTATCTTTGCCCTTCCACCCTAATTTCTATTTGGACATCTATGTCACTGATTAGATCCGCTAAGAAAACATTTGTCCCAAGATACAGTACATAGTACTTTGGCCTTAGAAAGATTTGAAAAAGTTAAAAAAACAAAACATAAAGAAATGCAATACATGAGGGGGTGTGGTTGGTTGGGTGATAGGCTCATGAGTATTAATTTTCAGTTCGTTTTTAAATTGCCCATGTGCCTTCTTGTTTGTATGTTATTTCTAAACAGTTTTATAAATGAGTCTGCTACATCCAGTTCACCCACAGTGAATGGTGATAACTTTAAATTCTCTGTGTCGGGTTATTAAGTCTTTTTCTTGCTCTTGTGAGACAGGCTTTAGTGTTCTTTTGGAAAAATGCAGATCAAGTCAGCCTTTGTCATAAGCAGGTCTATAACTCAAGTTTGGTTATACAGTTGAAGAATCCCATAGATTATGGAATTTTGAAATGATAGACTGTCTGGTTTGGAAAACAGATCTGGATTTCAAGCTCTTTATCATTGGAAGGATTCTCTGCATTCACTGCATATTTCTGTGAGCACACATTATTTCCAATTTTCTAGCAATTTGACTTGCGCATCAGTGACTTTGGTTCACACTGGAGGTGCCCAAGTTGATGACCAGACTTTGTCCATCCACAGGAAACTGCCCTGAGCCTCAAACCAAGCTTGAAAGTGACGTTCTAACCCTCATGAGTGGGCTTAAGTTTGCAGCTGTAGGCTCAGCCCCTCACATATTAGTTAACACATGCCTCACATTTTGCTTGAAATAAATCCAGTGTCCTGTCTAACGTTGAGACCCTGTGAGGGCAAGAGCCTACCGCACAGCAAATACTATATGTGGAGCAAAACCGCCCAGTCAGTGAAATTTCATCTCACCTCCCTATAGCTGCATGGCTTGAGAGTTAAAGTTCACTTTTCTGTTCGTGAGCCAACTGGAGAGAAGATAGGACAGCCCTCATGCCTGGATTGATAAGGCAGTTAAAGCAGAAAGCCAGGTGTTATTTATTATGGAGAACTGGTTTCTGCTGTGTGTGCTAAGTAGTAAACTTAGGCTAGAAGTCCAGTATGGAAGCTCTCCTGGAGCTGGTCCGCAAGTGGGTGTTGATACACAGCATGCCAGCAAAGCTCATCGTGTGTAGGGTGTCAGACTTGATAACCGTGGAGAAAAGTGGCCCCGGGTCAATGGAAACAGGACCGTGGGAGTCAACAGTTATGCTGTTGGCTGTGTTGGTCTGGGTATATTTTGTATGTTCTCGTCTATAATCCTTCCCAAACCCTGTGAGATAGCAAACTGGCAGTTGGATGGATGTGTCGTTAGACCAAATTTACTGAGACAGGAAGTGGTGGATCTGGGATTTGAACCTAAAACCATCTGGATTCTTTCCACAAATCGCCTAATCTTTCTACTATCTACAAAGAGCCTGCATCTGCTGGTCTGTTTACAGCTTGGAAGGGGCTAACGGGAACGCTAGTCTATCTCTAGGGGAAGGTGGGGTACATTCCTAAACTATAAATACCGTGATAGTCACTGTTTGCCGGGCATGTATTATATGCCAGCTGTCGCGTGACAGGCCACGCATGTACTTCTCCCCCATTTTCCCAGCCGCCCTGTGCAGTAGGGGCTGTCACTTACATTTTACAGATGAAGAAACCCATGTGTAGGCTAGCCCAAGGCCTGAGAGTGGGGACTGAGTCCTGGTCTTTTCTTGTTTTTGTTTCCAAATTTCTGTCTCATGTTACTTATAGAAAGGTTAATGTTCTTTTATTTTATAAAGAGGACCCTGCTGGTCCAGTGATTAAGATGTTTGATTGCTAACCCAAAGGTCAGCAGTTCAAACCCACCAGCAGTTTCGAGAGAGAAAGATAAGGCTGTGTGCTTCTGTAAAGATGCCAGCTTTGGAAACCCCATGGGGAATTCTGCTCCGTCCTATAGGGTTGCTGTGAGTTGGAATTGGCTCGACAGTGGGTTTGGGTTTTTGGCTCCAAGGGGAGCTGTGGTGACCGTGGCTGAACCACGGTCTCACAGAATGTGATGTTGCTTCCTCACAGACTCACTGCGAGACTCCAGCCTGCAGCTGCGCGCCTGTCCCCCCGGCACTGCCGCCTGCCTGGTGAAAGGCGACCAGGTGTTCGACGTTGGCCGACCCAAGGAGGGGCTGAAGCTCGTGGGCAGGGACAGGTCAGTCTACGGCCTCCAGGAACCTAGAGCTTCAGAGCATTGCAAAGAACATCCATGTTTCAACAGGGGCCTGGGCTCAATCCTACAAAGTTGCAGCTTTATTTACGGTTGAGGGGGCTTCACAAAGTCGGTAGAAAAGTGAAATGAAAAGATAATGGAATTTTCCCAGGAACTTTTGACGTCCCCTTGTACTTAGAAGGCGACTAGTCAGTGCTGAGTATCAGAGGCTGCTTGCCGTGTTCCTTACTTGCTAGTCACTTCCTTGTCTCTTTTATAAGTACAAATGTCATATAAATCAGGGTCCTACACATGGTCCTAGACAGTCACGTCTGGCTATCCCCAGCAGCTATGTTTATAAAGTCACTGTGGACACTGGATTACTGAACACTGAACCTTTGTTCCTAGGGAAATACCGGATTAGGCTCCCGCGAGCCTGTGAGTACATTTTCATCAACCAAGCAACACGTAACCTTGTTTGGTGTACGTTTCTGTAAAGCACCTTCTTTAATATAGAACCTTTGATTCACTAACGTTGAACTCAATGGCCAACAGTACCACACCGCGCTCCTGAACGAAGCCGATCTAACACATGCGTTTTCTCCAAAAGGCTACAGTGCTTCAGCACTATACTGGGGCTCTTTTCAACAGTGAAGTCACCAGTCCAAAGCACAAAGCTGCCGAAAACACAGCGCTAAATCCACTGCAGAATGGGCCCTGGTTTGCCGTCTGAGAGCTGACCCAAGATGGCCGAGCAGTGCCTGGTCTGAGTCCTCTGGGAGTGTGCGTGTCGGGCGACTGCGCGTGTCAGGCGACTGCACGTGTTCACACGTGGTTGCAGAAGCTCTGTGTGTGTGAACTGTGTACACAGATCTATGTAGATACATATGTGCTCCAGGGCTCAATGCATGCCTTAAAGTGCTTTTTGGTAGTTTTCCTTCCCGTTCCACGGCTCATCATGTAGTTAGGTTTTTGTTCCTAGGTATTGGTTCTCTGACAAACACTGTCCTGAGGGCCCCAGGGAGGGGCTGCTCAGCCTGTGGACTAAGTGGTGCTCTGTACATATATCATAGTCCACCTCTGTTCTGTGTTCTCGCCTGTGTGTCACACATGACTGCTTATACCGAGGAGCTTGATCTTCTCCTTGTCCCAAGGCCCTTTGGGAGAAACCGCTTGCAGCTTGCTCTAGTTGGAATTAGTGGGGATGGCTATCCATTTTAGAAGGGTCCTCTGTCCCCAGAATGCATTAGAGCATGACCTTAATGTAAGACTGTTTGGATGATTTCTGTACCTATGAGGGTCGTCAGTGACCAATGGCGGTTTCTTAACACTGGGAGGATTTGCGACTTCAGGGAAGTTTCTGAATGCTTCAGAGGGTGAACATTCTTGGCTGCTAACCGAGGTTGGCAGCTCTAGTCCACCCAGAGGGGTACTTCAGAAGAAATGTCTGGTAGTCTGTGTCTGAAAAATCCGCCACTTGGGAACCCTGTAGAGCAGGGTTTCCATGAGTCAAGGTCAATTCGATGATGTCTGCTGTTGGTGAATAACATCTGAGACATTGGGCAGAAAGTGCAAACGAAGACGGCTGTTCTCTCTCCAGAGTCCTTGTCCCTTTGTGTCAGGGCAGGAGCTGCAATGCACACTTGAGGCCATGAATCTTACTCCTGCTGCTGTAGGTCACATGACCTCTGCTCTGGACATGAGGACAGTGGGTATCCTGTGACCGCCAGGCTGGGTGTGCTGGGCACCTTCAGATGGAAAGCAAAGATCCTTGCCCTTCGATGTACTTATACACGGGGAGCTGAGTGTACTCTCATGGGCCAAACGGACAGCAGACCCACTTGCTTCTGTGTTTTGTTAGGTCATGTACATTTCTTTAAATATTTTAAAAAACAACAACAACAGAAAACTCAAATAGCTTTTGTGTTAGTATTTGAAATTTGCAATTTGTTTAGTTTTATGAAAACACGAGCAACATGCAGTGCTCATGAAAGTTTAAAATGAAATCTTTCAAGTGAAAATGAATTTGTGTTATTTTGAACTGTCTAGAGCTACAAGGGGGCTTCAAAAAGTTCATGGAATAATGGAATGAAAAGATAAGGAAATTTTTTCATGAACTTTTGAAGCTCCCTTATATGTGTATGTATTTTTTTTTTTTTTTAAACATTTTATTGTACATTAGGCAAAAGTTTACATAGCAAATTAGTTTTCCCAATCAGTAGTTCATATACGGATTGTGAATGTTTCTTCTGCTACCCCTACAAAATGTGTTAGATGTTCAGGCCAACACATTAATTTGAATTAAAAATTAATTTAAAGAAGTACCAAGAAACTTGTACATTTGACAGTCTTTTTTTAATTTTTATTTTATACAGACTTGTCTTGAGTTACGTGAAGGAAGATGCAGCCAAGCCGGACTTCTGTGATGGTCACAGCCCAGCTGTGACTATTACCTTCGTGTGTCCTTCAGAGAGGAGAGAGGTGAGCGAGCTCTCCGAGGATGACTTTCCAGCAGGGAATGGACAGCTGGGATGGGAGGGGCTGGGTGCTAGAGAGGGCAAGCTGTAAACGTGCATCCTGGGGTCAGTACTGGCCTGGGGCTACTTCGCCATGGAGAAGTTTGAATCTTGCATCTATGTTAGCGTGCGATGGTGGTGTGCGATGAAGCGCTCATGAAAGTTTACTTTATGGTGATCTGAAGGGGCTCATGGATAGGTTTTTTTAATTCTCAGGGTTTGCTGATTTTAACGTATATTTGAAAAGCTATCGGGGTCATCTCAAGTCTGTGATTTCAGGCCTATTATTGCTCTCTAACACTGAAGCAAGTTTAAAACGCTCACATACCGGCACTAAGAAACATTAAGAAATGAGTTGTGCAGACGGTTTGCAGACGTGGCAGGAACTCTGGCGGCAGGGGCTGACGTTTGGGGGGGACTGGAGTGAAGGAGAGTTATGGCCGGAAGGGGGCTTTCTGCTTTCTTCCTCCATCTCTGAGCCGCCCCTTCCTCACCGCCCCCCTTCCTGCCTGCCTCCCCTCCGTTACTCACAGGCAGATTTATGGCTGCTGCTCTCCGGCTGTTTATTAACTGCCCTGCACATTGTAAACTCCTCGAGGGGCACTCAGTCGTCCTTGTCCTTTGTCTCAGTGCCTGGCTCCGTCTGCACATGCCGACCTGCTGTTGCCGTGGTTTTCTTGACATGGGCCCTGGGCTGCGGTGTAGAAGGCAGGCATTTCTCTGGGAGGAAGGGCTAGGTTTCCCTTTGATTTATTTCTGCTGCTTGTCATAGAATGCAGCAGACCGAGCTGAATTCCTTTGCCAGACACCCGGCCTCCCTCTCCCCCCAAACAAATGTGGAATTTGCTCTGACTTCACGCTGGCAGTCAGCCTGCATTTGGTGGGGGGCTGTGGAGAAGATAAGAGCAAAGTCCCATCCCAGCTTTCCCCCCACACCTCCCGCCCCAGTTTCTATACCTGGTGTTAGCCTCACGAAGACATGGCAGAACCGTCATCGGAAACTGGTTCTGAGTGTGAACGCTGAAGAAGGTTTACAGGCGCACATCGTCTTATTGAACTTCGCAGATAGTGCGTGTTTTATAAGTTGAAGGTTTATGGCAACAACCGTGCGTTGAGCAAGTCTATCGGCTCCATAGTCCAACAGCATGTGCTCACTTCATGTCGCTCTGTCACGTTTTGGTCATTGTCACATTTCAAACTTTTTTCAGAATGCTGTTGTACATGTTTCTATGCATTGGGAAGCCAAACAGTCCGTGTGAATTCTTTTATTGTGACATTCACATTTTATTTCGGTGGTCTGAGACCAAACCTGCAATATCTCTGAGAGATGCCTGTATTTCTACTTTGTTTATTCACCTACAGCTTTGGATCACAGTCATTTAAGCCTCATGAAGTGTTCTTAGCTTGTACTGTTTCCAGCGTTTTCCTCCCCCACCCCCACCCCACATTCAGTAAGAAACCTTTTACACTTTCACAAGAAGGGAGGTGGGTTTCCGCCCTTCTCCTCTGTGGGGGACGAGCCATTGACCGTTATTAGAAGAGGCGGCCATTTGTTCTCGGTGGAGCGGTGGCTCTGTTTCCAGCTTAGCTGTGCGCTGAGCAGAGCTTGTGTTAGATGCCCTTGGATACCTTAATATTTGAAAGGTTTATTAAAGTAGAGGGAGTCTCTGACTTCATGTCATATTTGAGTTATGACAAACCACACTTAAAGCCGTCTCTTTTTTGTACATGTTACCGTTAGCAATATGTAGTACACACAATGTTAAATTATGTGTGTATGTATTTATCTATCTAGCAACACACACACACACACACACACACACAGAGTCCTGGTGTGGCGCTGTGGGTTAACGTGCCAGACTGCAAAGTCGTTTGAACTGCAAGATGGGCAGTTCAAGCTCACCAGCTGCTCCTCGGAAACCCTATACAGGGTTGCTATGGGTCGAAATCGACTTGACAGCACTTCACAACCACAATATACACACATACATACACATATATACATATATACACACATACAAACGCAAACTTGAGGGGGCTTCAAAAAGTTCCAGGAAAAATTCCATTATTGTTATTTTTTTTTTATGAAGGGTTTGAAGCCCCATCGGTGTGTGTGTGTGTGTGTGTGTGTGTGTGTGTGTGTGTATGTAGAAATATGAATATAAATATAAGGGTGCTCTGAAAAGTTCATGGAAAAATTCTATTTTTGAGTTCCATTTTCTACTAACTTTCTGAAGCTCCCTCGTATATATGCGTGTATACACACTTGTACAAATTATGTGTGATGTTTCCAACCCCCGAAGACAGAGATCAAATTTATAAAGATATTGCTAATAAAAGGCAATAATAATGAAAACTAGAAAAAAGAAAAGTTGCGGCGTTTTTTATATGTCAGAGCCGATTTATGATGGTGTGGTCGGAAGGGAGCCCTCTGGCTATAGCTAGGGGCAACCTAGTGTGTGTAGGCCCAGCTCTGTGCAGCTGTCAGAACAGCCACTTTGAGAACTGTTTCACCACAAAGAAACCTCATGCCCATTTGCAGTTACTCCCTGTCCACCCCCAGCCCCTGGAGACCACGGTCTACTTCCTGTCTCTGGACTTTCACGTATAGGGAATCAGACAGCATGTGGTCCTCCGTGTCTGGCTTCTGTCACTATGCGCTCTGCACTACATCACCATGTCAGGCTGCTCTGAGCATGAGGCTAGAAGTCTGCATGCTGAGTCCTGCAGATGGGGGTGGGGGGGTGGGGGGGACGACGACTTAAATTCTTAGGGTGACCAACACCGTGACTGCTGTGTGCAAACCCAGCACACTCAGTACATGATCCCTGTGTGTGTGTGTGAGCAGTGAACGAGGTTGGCTTTGAACGGAAAGGCTGTAGGTTCTAGTCCCTCCAGAGGCACCTCGGAACAAAGGCCTACTCTGACACACATGGGGTTGCTGTGAGTAATGGAGTTGATGTGTGACGGCAGTTGGTCGGGACCAGTAATGGCTAAGAAGTCAGCAGGGCCCTTCCTGGATACTGTCCTAACGCGCATCTTCCACCACCCTAACCAAAGATGAGCACCCTCACTCCTGGTTTGCATAAGCAGGACCAGGGAGTGGAGGGGTGAAATGGCCGGCCCAGAGTTAGCAGAGCAGAAACGGACTTGATTTTGCAGATGGTCAGGGGACAGGGGAGACTCTGCTTCCGGACCCTACTAGACCCTTTGACAATCTTCTGAAAGGGACTGTGACTGTCTCCTACAGCGGGTTTCACCCTGCTTGATTTAAAGATTGATTGAGCCACACACCTTTTGTAAACGATGACCATTTGCCAAGTTTGTAATGACTGCTGTAGCATTACAACGCTGGCTTCAAGGCAGGAGCTCTTTGAGGTTCAAGTAGACCTCTGAAAGTCAGGCGTGGGACACGCCTGGAAGGCTGCTTGTACAACGAGTTGCCCTAAATCAAATAGTTGGAATGTGTTGGGGGCAGTTAGAATTCAAAGACTAGGAACGGAAAATATAAGAAAGAACCCAACAGTCTGTCTCGGAGCTTTTTAGAAGCGTGGGGAGACTGCATTTAAGCTGTGTGCTAAACAACATGTCTTGCTCCTTTTCAATTATTCCCGCCAGGGTACCATTCCTAAACTCACTGCGAAATCCAACTGCCGCTATGAGGTGGAGTGGATCACTGAGTATGCCTGCCAAAGGGACTATTTGGAGAGTAAAACCTGCTCCCTGAACAGCCAGCAGCATGACATATCCATCGACCTTAGACCACTTGCCCAGAACAGATGTGAGTAGGGTCGTCCCATGGGATGGGTAAGGGGACTGAGGGTCGAGGGTCTGAACTAATCCAGGCTGCTACGAAGGGGAGAAGAGTTTGAGCTGCTGGGAAACTGGGATCGAAGGGTACCTAACGTAGGGCTGTGCCGTAAGGCTCACCGAGGTAACAGTGCCTCTCCTCCCGTCTCCCCCTTTCTTTAGCTTCATACTCCCCATCCTATACCTCAGATGGAAAGGAATATATTTTTTACTTGGATGTCTGTGGAGACACAGAAGCTCGTGTCTGCAATAAGAAAGGGGCTGCAGTTTGCCAAGTGAAGAAGGGTGATTCCACGCAAGTCAAAGTGGCCGGAAGATACCAGAACCAAACTCTCCGGTGTGTAAGCAGTCTCCTGGTCATTCTGAAGTGTACTGTGTCTGTCCTTGTGAGGCAGAGTTCGCTCCACTAATGATCAGCCTCCTACTTCCCACAAAGTGCAGGGGAATCAGATAAGTCAGCATCCTCCCTCTCCGAGTCAGGCAGCCCTCCATCCGTCACTAAACGAATGATGGTCAGGGCCTCTTTTCTGGCTTTACATGGAAGGGCTCTCCTGCTAAAAAAAAATTGTGGTGCGCATCTATTGTTGGTGAGGAACCACAGTGTTCAAATGATATTGAATGAATTTCAGGTAGATAACAGCTTTTCTAGATGAGAGTTTACGTTTTGAGGAATTTTGCTTTTTCCCTGGGAGTTTGTGAATCTCAAAATGCCTTGAGCATTATCTAAAAATTTTAAACAATGAAAACAATACACTCTGCACAATTTTGGTGACCCTCAAGCTGGGTTTTTATTCACAAATGCACTACACAAATGCAGTTCTCCGAAAGCCCGCCTTGGGCAAGATCCCTCAGGTCAGGCTGGGATCATGGCGACTGCCGGGAACACTGTAGAATTCTTGGGCTTTACTTACTTTGTACCAGACCCAAAAGTGAGAGTAACAGGCAAATACCTCTTCATGCTCACAGCAAACCTCCAGCGCTTTCCTCCAGCCAGTTGTGGCTTTGAAGTAAAAGGATGACAAGCCTGTGCATTTGGAACTCATTTCCTCGAGACCTTTTCCCCCAGCTGGCTAGAGAGCTGGCTGTTTTATGTTGGTGGTGATTTGTTGGTGGTATGCAGAGGGCTTAATGTAGACATTCTTTAAAAACTCAAGTTTCTTTCTTAGTTCTACCCAATGTTTATGTGTGGTATATATCCACAAAATCTAGATACTCGGACTCAGACCTCACCTTAATATATTTTGGAGGAGACGAATGCAGCTCAGGCTTTCGACGAATGAGCGTCATCAACTTTGAATGCAATAAAACCGCAGGTGAGTGCGCCCTGGGATTGAATCAAGTTCTTTGGCTTGATGGGTGCGTGTGGGTGGTGTAGCTGTGTGTAGGGATAGTGTGTGTGTGTGTGTGTGTGTGTGTAGTGGTGTGTGGATGTGATGTGTGTGTTGGGGGGCAGGGTATAAGGTCTGTGGTGGGTTTGTGGGAATGAGGTGTGGGTGTGGAGGGTGTGGTGGCTGTATGGTGTGTGTGGGTGGCGTGGTGTATATGTGATGTGGGTGCGTTTGTATGTGAGGTGTGTGTGGTGTCTGTGTGCTGTGTGTATGAGTGATGCGTGTTCTTGGAAGTGGAGCGTGGAACAGAAAAGTTTCTTGGAGCAATGTGTGCCTCCTTTGGACATGGCCAGCGCTAGTCCCCAGGCTGGGTTTTCCTGTGGCTGTAATGGGGAGGAGGACCCTCCCCCAACGACACACACATCCTGTTTCCATTTCCCTCCCTTCTCTGTTTGTTTTGGGAGTGGGCCCACACCGGCCTTGCTGTGAGTGAATTTTCGCTCACACTGTAGCAGACAGCACGGTTGGGCTGGCTCCACCAGCTTGGTTTGAGTGGGTGGCCTCTTCTTTGATGTAGTCAGCCTCAAGATAACCCTTTTTGCAAAGTTACGATTTTGAGATTGCAAAATGTCACAGGGCAAGTTTAAGCTGAATGTTTGGTTTTATCTGAGCCATTAGGGGAAAAAAAAAATCCTTGAAGTCACAGGACATTGGCATTTCAAAACGCAGTGCTTATCTTGAAGATTGTGTACACCACGGCATCTGTGGAGGGCGAGGGGCTCCCTCACAGCCGGAGGTCACCCCACTGGTTGACCCCGAAGCTGTTACCTCACTCTCCCATCCCCCCTCGCCCCAGGCTGACAGGACCCCACAAAGCGCACTCCTCCCCAGCCTGGCCCGACTTGGGTCCCAGTTCTTGTTCAGCCTTCCTCTCCTCTGAGGGTCTTTGTGGTACTTCGCTCCATAGGTTTTTTTTGGTAGAGATTTCTTTTTATTGAAATGCTAACTTATTTTATTTGTTATTATTGAGAACATGCACAGTTTAACAGATACACCAATCCTACAGTGTCTACAGCTTCCATTCAGTGGCATTGGCTGCGTTAATCAACGTGTGCCACCATTCTCACCCTCCTTTACGGAACTCCTCCTCCATGAACACGCATTTCCTGTCAAGTCTTTTGAGTTTATTTGATTCCATATAGGTAGTTCTTGAAAGAATACATTGCTTAAGGCAGGCATTCTTTACTAGTTACGCTAAACTACTATTTGATTTTCAGGAAACTTCAGGGAATACCTTTTGTTTTGTTTTATTTTAACAAACAAATTTATTCTCTTACAATTTAGGAGGTTAGTCCAAATTAAGAATACTAGCTCTGGGGCTTTCTCTCTATACTTGCTCTGGGGAAGGCCCTTGTATCCTTCCAGCATCTGTAATCCCAGCATCAGAATTACTTTTGCTTTAAGGTTTAAAGATTATCTCAGAGCAAAAGTTTCTGGGGTTTATCCAGCCTCCACGTGGCTCCAGAAAGTCTGGATTCTATGAAAACAAAATTTAAAAAACTTTTTATAGTGAAACGAATGAAGGTTTACAGGGCAGATCATCAGTGTTACATTCAACACAGCGTACACTACATTTCTTCTCAATGACTGCCAATCCGTTCCATGTAGAATCACTTCTTCAGCTTTATCCTTGGGTGAATGTGGCCCTTTTGATCTCAAATGGTTGACCCTTCAACGGTGTGCAGACCTCACTAGTGTTTCATCCCTCCTATATGGGATTCCATGAGAATTTGAAATTCTGTTCTATATTTCCTCTCTTTTGATAAGGATTCTTCTGTGACTCTTGGATTGAAATATTCAGTCTGGAACTCATGGCAAAGAAGGCAGTTATTCATGGAGACAATTAGTCACACATTCCATTTCCTCCTCCAATTCCTGACTCTCTTTCCTATGTTACTCCAGGTGAATAAAGATGAATTAATGCTCCTTGAATGGCTGTTTGTTTGCAGGCTTTTAAGACCCTAGGCACTACGCAGCATACTAAGAGGTAGACTGTAATGAACTAGGAAGTAAAACCCAATTATTAGGACAGTTAGCTGCAATGTGCCAGGAAACCATAGCCCTAGACCCCCAAACCAAGAAACCACATCCCATGAGGTGTTTGGTTGGACTTCAGCAGCCTCCATAGCAGCTCTGGTTTTGGTGGTGGCTGTAAGTATGTCTGTCACATTACTATGGTGCGGCAGAGCTTTCCATGGCTTGGCCACAGGGCAGATCTCTAGATGATTCCTTGTGGGATCTGGGGAGAGGCAGCTTTGTACAAGTGGACTGCTGGGGAAACTTGCCCACTGTGGTGAAGAAGAGGTCAGGAGGGTTGTAACTTGGCAGGGCTGTGACCCAGATCTACTCTGTGCATGAGCATGCTCAGTTGCCTTTGGGCGCCTCTCTCCCAGCTGTGCTTCTTTCTGTTTTCTTCATCTCATCCCACCCATCCCTGAGGCACACCACTCCACCCTGTGACCCCAGCCCTACTCACATAGCAAGTACAGGTACTGCTTCATCCCCAGCTCTTTAGTCACTCGGTGCCCTCAGTTGATGGTGCCCCAGCCTACTTCTCCTACTGTCAGACCCCTGTGAGCCACGTCACCTGCCAACCTGGTGGTCCTTCTCAGGGCTCTTGATTAATGTGCACGGTACCTTTTTTCTTTTTAACTTTTTATTGTGAATTGAGTGAAGGTTTATAGACAAGATCATCAGCTTTACACTCAGAAAATCATAGACTTTGGTTCATCTCAATGATTCCATTCATATCTACCCCTGGACTGAAAACTGGGCCAGCAGAGTGAGTTCCTTCCTAGACCTGAAGGGTATTCGAGGGCCGGAATCTTGGGTTCCTCCAATGTCCCTCTGACCAGCAAGCCTGCCGAGACTTATCATTGATTTTCCTTCTTCCTTCGCTCCACATATCCACCCCGATATTCCACCACCCTAGTCTGAACCACTGTTGTCTGTCACCTTATTCCTATAGCAGTCACTTTGTTTCCATTCTTAACCTATTCCCTAACAAAAGTGATTACCTAAGTCCAAATTGTAACATAATTCTGAATAAAGATAACAATGGCTTTTCCATTTCACTTACAACAAAATCTGGTCGTTACAACACTTTACAGGGTCTGCCTTTATCTATTTCCATCGTCACCTTAGCTTATTCCCCAATCACTCAGTGTATTAGTTATCTATAGCTGTGTAGTGGTTACGAATCGGGCTGCTAACCTCAGGCTCCTCCTCAGTTCGAAACTACCAGCTGTTCTGCAGGAGAAAGATGAGGCTTTCTGCTCCCATAAAGATTTACAGCCTCGTAAACAAACCCTGTACAGGGTCCCTATGTGTCGGAACCGACTCCACGGCATATAACAACAACAACAACAACAACAACAACATAGCTGTAGAACAAGTCACCAGCTTAAAGCAATTAATATTACCTCACAGTTTCTGTGGCTCAGGATTTAGCGAGTGTGTTAGCTAGCTAGCTTGCGCTCAGGATTTTCCATGAGGTTGCACACAAGATGGTCAGTGCTTCTGTCCCAGTTGATTAGGGTTCAAGGATCCCATTCCAAGATGTCTCAGATAGCTATTGGTAAAGGGTCTCGATTTTTTACTGCCCGGCTTTCTTCACAGAGCTGTGTGAGTTTCCTTGTGCTATGGTAGCTGGCTTCCCTGTGTGGACTATATCTTTGAGAGTGTACTGATCTCACTCAGGGGGTGCTGGGAAGGTGCACTAATGATCCAGGAAGATTGAAACAGAAGAGAAGGCTATTGGGAAAAGCCAGTAGTCATGGATTCAGAAAGAAGTGGGTGGATGTGGAAGAACTGGGCAGGAAGGATGACAACCACAGGAGCCAAGGCTTGAAAAAAATGCTCAGTACACTAAGTAAGGGCTTCTTTTTTATGTCCTTTTTCACTTTTAATGATTAAAAACATTCAAGTCTTAAAGTAGAGTGTGACAGTGGAAAATCTTATGGCCACCACTCAGATGTAGTGGTTGTTCCTATTTTGTAAGTGGAGTCCCTGGGTGGTGATGCAAATGGTTAAGCTCTCGATGACGAGCCGAAAGGTTGGTGATTCGAACCCATCTAGACAGAGGGGCCTCAGAAGAAAAGCATGATGATCTGTGCTTTGAAAACCCCGTGGAGCAGTTCTCTGTTCACGTGGGCTCACTAAGTGTCAGAATTGACTCATCAATGACTAATGGCGGCAGCATTTTGCAAAATTTTTTTCCTACCAACTGCATGTCATTGCTGGATTCTAACACTTCAGTCCACCTTAAAAAGGGGTGATGCTGTAGGATAAGCACTGGACTGCTTGCTAATTGCAAGGTCAGTGGTTCAAACCCACCAACTGCTCCTCAGAAACCCTATATAGGGTCGCTATGAGTCAGAAGTGACTTGATGGCACACAACAACAACAACAACAGAAAGTATCAAACAGCCAGTGGTTTCCCAGCCTGTTTTGGGTGTGAGTTTAACAGGAAGAGATCCCTGAGGTGCTGGGGCTTTGTGGAAGTATTCCCTGCACCCTTCCAGGCAGGCGTTGGATCATAAAATATTTACGATTCCTTCCCACTCCATGATTCAGTTCTCCAAAATTTGGTTCAACAAACTGTCTGTACTATAAAATTATTTCATTATGGCTTTGCTCAAATTTAAACTCAGAGTCTTTTGAGAAAATGCCTTAGTGGATTCTGTGCTTATTGGATAAATGTAATAATAATGTGTTTTTAATGTGAATGTGTGTTAATTGGCTCCGTAATATAATGTGGTTTATAGTTTAACTTGGATCTTCAGGAATTCCTTATGCTCATGACTCTAAGATTCATGAATATTTAAAATACAAAGGCGCATATATTTTTTTCTTTCAGCCATTATATGTATGAGGGGGGCTTCAAAAAGTCGTGGGAACATGGAATGGAAAGATAATGGAATTTCTCTCTGAACTTTTTGAAGCCTCCTCATTATGTATTTGCTTTAAACCATTTGCTTCAATAACTTACATGTGGAGTCCTGGTGTGGCGCTGTAGGATAAGCACTGGGCTGCTGATCGCAAGGTTGGCTGTTCAAACCCACCAGCCACTCCTTGAAAACCCTGTACAGGGTTGCTAGGAGTTGGAACTGACTTGACAACAATGACAACAACTTGGTGTAATGTGATGCCTTATTATTAAGGATTCTTTCAAACAAGGGTATTAGATCACTTTTTGGGAAGAGTGAAATGTACGAGGGGCCTTCCAAAAGTTTGTGGGAAAATGGAATTGAAAAGTAATGAAATTTTATCCATACGTTTTTGAAGCCTCCTTGTATTCTTGTTGTTAAGTGTCATCAAGTCGGTTCCGATTCATAATGTTTCCGAGGAGTTGCTGGTGGGTTTGAACTGCCGTCTTGTGGTCCAGTGCTTCTCCTAAAGCACCAGGACTTGTGTATTAGCACAGGTTAATAAAACACCGTCTACCTGTTGGAGTGGCTGGCTCCCTCATGCCACACCAGTGTCTTGTGGATCCTGCGGGGCTGGGGTAAAGGTGGGATGGGAGCTGCTCCGTGTGGCCATTCAGGGATCCAGGAGGAAGGTGAAGTGTTTGATGAGAATAATGTTTACACAGAGAATAATGGAGGAACGGCTGCCATCTCTGCTGGGGCAGAGGGCGCCCTGGATTGTGGGAAGCCTCCACCCCCTTCCTCTTGGGTTTCCAGAACCAAGCAATCGTTCTGAGCATGGGGCATCAAGGGGGTGTCTTGGTGGCTAGGAGACAACCAGGGTGGTGCTTTTAGGATTGTGTGGTTCAGATGATGAGGGGGCTTCAGAAGGCTTATAGAAAAATTCTATTACCTTTTCATTTCATTTTCCTATAAACTCTTTGAAGCCCCCTCGTTTAAGTTATGTGGAAGTTTCTTGAACCCTGACCTGTGAATGCAGTACCTCACTCTACCACTGGCCGGTCCCTCTTCACTGTCTTTTGTATTTTCAGTAGCTGTAGAATCCCTTGGAATATTCTTCTAAGATGAGCAGGGTCTATGACAATGTGTACAAAGTGAAATAGAAGCTGCTCTGATCTTGGCCAACAGGGATTTTGCACTGGGTTTTTTTCCCTCCTATGACTTAAAAATTTTTTTTATTGTGATTGAGTGAAGGTTTATAGGTAGTTTTTCATTCAACATATCAAACACTTCGTTTCATCTTGATTGCAGTCCCTTCCTTGTAACGTCAGTCATCCCACTTCATCCCTGTGATTCCCGTTTCCATTCTTTCTCCTTTCCCCACCGTTCGGGATTTTGTTTTTGGGTAAGTGCTTTAATGTGGTGTGTGTAACTCACTAGTGTTGTTGTCTCCCTCCATATACCTATCTGTAGCGTGACTGAAAATTGAGTCTTGGGGATGAGTTCATTCCAGAACTGAAGGTCAAGGGCCATAGTCCCAGGGTTCCATCAATCGATATCTGACCAGTATGCTTGGTGTCTTGATGCTTTTGAATTTGTTCTACGTTTTCTCCCATTATATCCAAGACCCTTTAATGTGATCTGCTTCAGAGCAGTTGGTAGTGGTAGCTGGGCATCATCTAGTTTTTCTGGTCTCTGGCTTGTAGAGACTGATATTCCTTTGTTCCATTAATCTATTGGACTAATTGATTCCAAGCGTCTTCCATTTTTATCACTTCTTTCTTCTGCACAGGGAGAGACCAGTTGCACCTTAGATGGCCACTCATGAGCTTTTAAGACCCTAAAGTAGGATGTAGAACATTGTCTTTGTGGACTGTAGTATGCCAGTTGACCATGGTGTCCCTGAATTGTATTTTCTAACCCAACCATTGGCATTGGGTCCGTTTTATGGTGTTTCTGCTTGTTCCTCTGACATTCCGGGTTTTTGTCACGTCCTGTTGTTTGATTCTCCCTGGCCAATTCCACAGGTAACCATGGGAAAGGAACCCCCGTGTTCACGGGCGAGGTGGACTGCACCTACTTCTTCACATGGGAAACAAAGTACGCCTGTGTCAAGGAGAAGGAGGACCTGCTGTGTGGCCTCAGTGATGGGAAGAAGCATTACGATCTGTCCCCTCTGGTTCGACACTCAGGTAGGTGCGAGGCTGTGGGCCGTGTCTGTCTGTGAGGAGAGCCTTCTCATCTCTTCCCAGATTGGTTTCTCTTGTTGTTGTTGTTGTTGTTAAGTGCCTTCGAGTCGGTTCCGACCCATAGCGACCCTGTACAGGGTTTCCGAGGGTGTAAATCCTTACGGGAGTAGAAAGCCTCATCTTTCTCCCGCGGAGCAGCTGGTAGTTTCGAACCGCTGACCTTAAGGTTCGCAGCCCGATTCGTAACCACTACGCTACCAGAGCTCCTTGACACACTGTCAATTGCGTCACGGGCTTCTTTTTAGTTTTTCTTCACGTAGCAGGTTAGGAATGGGAGGGGAACGCTGACTTGGAGGCTGGCAGTGCCATTTTCTAGCTGCTCTGCCTTCCTCATCTTGGAATAGTGTAATGCAGACTGTGAGGCCCAGTGCTTGAAGTTCAGTATTTTATTTTAACTTCCTACGAGCATATTCAAGGGAACCTTGTCTCCATATAACACCCAACCTCTCAGAGTCAGAGGGTGATAGGCTGGGTGAGAAGGGTGGAGGGCTGGACTTCAGCCAGGGTCCTTTTGGTACCCAGTTTATCCCCTGTGTCTCGCTGCCTTGCCAATGGTGTCGACCCTGCCCTCCAGCCTAGGTGCCGTCTTGTGCACATCAGAAGAGAGGCGAGTGGAGATGCTGTGACATGCTGCAAAGCACTGGACCGTTAAGGTGGGGTTGGGCCTCCAGGGCCTGGCTCATGGTGAATGCCTGCTGAATTGCATTGACAGATTCCCTGGACCAATTTTCTCTGGAGCATTTAGACTTGGACTCAATGCAGTGGATGCTGCAGGGAGCTGGGGGCCTGCCCCCGCCCTCGTGGGACTACAGTTTAGCAGGAGTCAGAAGATTGAATTGTGCGTGTGGGAGCGTGTAACAGGGATGACCAATCTAGCTGGGGACTTTCTAGTTTGACGCTTTTCACAGCCCTGGAGGCAGGGCTGTTGCCGACAGTTGTTTCTGTGAAATAGAGATAATCCCTAAGGCTGAGGATGGCTTGCACAAAGTCACACTGTCCGCAGCTGCCAGAGGATGGTTTGTCCTGTTGCCTAAGTCCTCATCTGGTTTGACAAATGCAGCTGTTTTACAAGGGACCTCCCTTTCTGCGAGTGCCCCTCAACTCCCCTTGCACACGGCCCTCCCCTGGAAGTGATCTGTGTTTGAGGATCGCCTCGGGCAGAAGCGCTGTCAGTACTTAAGACAAAGAGCCTCGGTGGCACTGTGGTTGAAGTAGCATTTGTCAGTTCGAACCCCCTAGCTGCTCAGTGGGAGAAAGATGAGGCCATTGTGCCGCCATAGATTTACGGGGTTGCTCTGTTTTACAGGGTCACTGTTGGCGGGGATGCATTCGACAGCTGGGGGTTTTTAGGCACTTAAGACAAGTACTGTTGGACTGCTGGGAGGGGTGCTTTGGCCAGTTCTGGTCCAGATGTGCTCACTAAGAGCTTTATGCAACTGGAAGGAATGCTAACCTGGAACCAGAGACCTGGTGGAGGTGGCCACCTCTAGCCCCATTTCCTCAAGCCAGAGCCTGTTTGCTCAGTCACAACACCTTCTAGCGACTTTGTCCAAGGCTCTACCTCGTGTCTGGTGGACTCCGGTGTGTTTGTTTACTGGGTGCCTGGGGACCTATAGGGCTTTTGCCGCACTTGTCCCCACACAATTCTAAGAAAGCTACAAGGCAAGAGCAAAAATCCTTCCTTTCAGGTAGTCCCTTGTCCTAGGAGTCTATGGCTCTCCAAGCAAAGCTCTCAGACTGTGGTTAGTTAGGCTGGCCATTTGCTGGCACACATGGTCACCTGTGGTGTCCTTTTTGGCTATGTGAGCCGGTACTTGTCCTACCACCTGCAGGTCATGGGCTTCTTGTCTTCTACATCCCAGCTCCTGACAGATAAAAGTAGCATTTGTCAGTAAGAATTTCTCTCCAGATTTTTTTTCCCCCCTAACCTTTCCTTCCTTGCTACAAGTTCAAGTTTCTGCCTCTGAGACCATATCTGGGTGGTTGGTTTGCCTTAGCACTCCTAGCGTGTGCATGTTCCGGTTCTGCTCGGGCGTGGAGACTGGCTGATGCACCTTCTGAGTTCTGTGACCGTCACTGTGTGTCTTCACGTGGCACTGAGCACAGTGTCTGGGCATCTCCTCTCACACCTCAGGGCCTCTCGCAGGCACGACTCCACCAGACTGCCAAGCCATGCTGGATTCCTGATCAGCTTCTGTTTTTGGTCTGTGGGGACTCTGACATTTTGCAGTTTAATTCTCTAGCCACACCACTCATTTAAGCATCCTGTTTTCAGTATTGGGGTGTAGTTTGCTTCCATGGTGCTCGTCGGGCCCTCTGAGTTTCCAGGGGTGGTTGGATTAAGATCTCACATGGGGATGAAGAGCAGCAGTCACAGTGTAGGAGGGGCTAGAAAGAAGTTTGAAATCTGGGTCTTGCCTCTGATGGCTCCTTGTGGGGGCACTCTGTGATTTATGGGGGCTGCCGGTGACTCTTGGCATTCCTGGACGGCTTGTAGATTTCTTTGCAAGCTGTCTTTTCCCTGGGTGTACCTGCCTCGTCTGTGGAAACAGGCAGAAGGGGTTTGCTTGGGGGCCCATCCTAGTGTGCTATGACTTGACCGGTAGCATCTTCGAAGGAGACCTTCTATCCCCAGAAAAGGGGGTCAGGATGTAGCATCCCTGTTTGGGGGACACTGTTTACCCGAACCCTTCGTGAGCTCTGAGCTCCTTTCCTTTGCCTTCATCCTCACTTGTCACTGGACTCACAGGGAAAGAATCATTGTCTTTTGTTAAAAGACTTATTTCCCCCCTTTTCCGTTACAGAGCGGGAACAGAATTGGGAAGCTGTGGATGGCAGCCAGGCACAGGTGGAAAAGAAGCATTTTTTCATTAACATCTGTCACCGAGTGCTGCAGGAGGGCCGGGCGAAAGGCTGTCCCAAGGATTCGGCTGTGTGCGCTGTGGGTGAGTTGGGGCCCAGGGTCTACCCAGCTGTATGCAGTCTGGAGTGAATTATCAAATCTTCCCATGGCTTCTCTAAGCTCCCCCTTTCTGGGCTCAACATATAAAGGGCGGTAAAGAAAAGTATCCAATGACGCAATTGTAGGAGACTGCAGCATGACTTTCGAAAATCATAGCACTTTGATGAGCGTGAAGTTGGCCAAAGCCTTTTGACGTTGGCTAAAGCCAGCTGGTAACTGCAAGCTGGTGACACAAAGAAGCAGCTTGGGAAGTAGCCGACTAGCTCTGCATTTTCTAACTGAAGAATCACATCGCCAGCACTTGTGTAAAAGTGATTTTGATGGTTTTAAGGAATCCTGGGTGGGGCAAACGGGTAAATCTCGACTACTAGCTGATGTGTTGGTGGTTCGGACTCCCCCAGGAGCTCCTGGGGAAGACAGGACTGGTGTTCTGCTTCTGAAGGTCACAGCCTTAAAAACCTTGTGGAGTAGTTCTCCTCAGCACACATGGGGGCACCATGAGTTGGGGCCTCCATGAATTGGAATGGACTTGTTGGCAGTTAACAGCAGTAGTGACAATAACTGTCTACATTTATTCAATGGTTGTAGCTTAGCCTAGCCTACCTCGGTAGAAGAGGACTTGTACATTTTGGGTTCCTTTTACTGTGATTGGGTAGTTGTCTCGTAGGGACTTCTCAGTCTGAAATACATATTTAGCACTGTAGCTATTTGTCATTTCAGTCTCACTTTGGAAATGGCGGGAGGTGAGAGTAGTTAGTGTGGGTTACACCTGAGGTGTAAGGACTGTGAACCCAGGTAGAGTTGAGGAATGACTGTGGGTCTCCAGCTCTGACGGAAGGCTCATCAACTGTGGTCTTAAGAGCATGTCCAGGAGTCTCCTTCAGAAGGCCTTTTGGACACAATGTTAGGTTTTAGAGGGGAAAAGGCAACTAGACAGGGTGCTAAGTGGTGCCCTGGCTGTCCTGTTGAGTAGGTTTGCTTACTTGCTACTTTGTCTTTGGGCCTCCTAGAACACACCTTGCCTATGCTTTTTAAGGTACTTTTATCTCAGGGTAGCAGAGGTCCCTAAAAACGGGGGGAGGGGGTGGAGAGCTATGCTATCATACTTGCTTGTCACCTCTTCTTTCTCTTGTGCCCATGGAGACTGGTGTACCCTGAGCGTGGAGGTACCTCGGAGGCTTCCTCGACAGGTGTCACCACCCTTGCAGACTTGTCACTCAAGGAAAGTCCATTTCCCATGTGTCTGCCAGCTTGGGCTTGGCCAGGGGTCGTGGTGTCCAGGTTGGGCTTTTGCAGACTTTTAAATGCCTTTTCATCTGTGTGAGAGTCTCTAGATGGTACAGATGGTTAAGTGCTGGGCTACCAACCGAAAGATTGGCAGTTCGAGTCCATCCAGAGGCACCTCAGAAGAAAGGGTTTCCAGTTTATTTTTAAAAAATCAGCCCCTGAAGGCCTTACCGAGCGCCTTTCTCCTCTGACCCTCAGGGGGCTGCCATGAGCTCGTGTCAGTGCAGTGGCCATAAGCTGGTGTCAGTGCAGTGGCACCTGACTTTTCATCTGTGCCACAGTCATTTTGTAACTGTCTTCTGTCTGCCTACCCGCTACTGTTTTCCAGATAAGAATGGAAGAAGTAAAAATCTGGGAAAATTTGTTTCTTCTCCCGTAAAAGACAAAGGAAATGTTCTAATTGCTTATTCAGATGGTGACGAATGTGGTCACGGCAAGAAAATAAAAACTAATATCACACTTGTGTGCAAGCCAGGTAAAAATTAAAACAAAAAAAATGATGGTATGTTTTAATGGGTTTTGCCAAAGGGCTGCCTTCATCTTTTATCCTCTGTTCATCCTTGGTCACTGAGGTCAAGTGGGAGGGGACTGAGCTCCAGAATCGGTCATGGTGGGAGATGGGTCAGCTGGGTTTTGTCCTGAACCTGTCTCCTAACCGCTGCCACTGAAGGGGTATTTATTGTGACTTTCCAGGGGTGTGAGTATGGGAGGTGTTTGTTGGACTCCCCATCCTAAGGATATAGTGTAAGTTTTGGGAGTTGCTTAATTCCTCCAAAGGGTAGAAGAAATCATAAACCATTCAAAACATTGCCAATTAAACACTGTTCATTTGTATTTATCTTTACTGGAAAGGTGTGTGTTGTTCTTACAGAGTCAAAATCTATACACGGTCACACATTTTCATGTTCTTCACACCGTAGCACACCTTTGCTACAAAATCGTAACAATCTTTATTCAACTAAAATATTAAAATGTGAAGTTTTAGGTTTTCAAACTATCTTCCATCTAAGTATGAAGGCAGTGTTTCCATCTTTGTGTAGGATATGCACTGGCCTATGAACCACAGAGTCAGAGGTTCAAACCCATCAGCTGCTCCTCGGAAACCTCATGCAGGGTTGCTGTAAGTCGAAATTGACTTGACAGCACTTAACAACAGCAACCATTTTCAAAGAATTCTAGTGACATCACATTAAAAGTGCAGTTTTAGCATCCTTGGGGAACTCAAATCGTGTTCCTCTGAAGTGTCCTGTGAGTTTTGGGGGACAAAATGAAGTCTCTCTGAAGGGGCAGAATCTGGGCTTCAGGGTGGGTAGGGTAAAGCTTCCTAATGAAGTCCTCAAAGAACAGTCCTTGCTACCCTTGAAGAAAGATCAAGATTACCTTTGTGAAATAATAATAAAAAAAAGACAATGACAAAAAAATACCCAAACCAGTTGTTCTAAACTTGTGAGCTGGCCTCTCTGCCTTGAATTTGACTGGCCCAGCAGATCCCCGTAATCCCCATTGAAGCCATTGTTTGGATTGCTCTCCCAAGCAGAGCAGGTCATCATTTTTGTATTTAACAAACCTTAAGGTCAGCAGTTCGAAACTACGGGAGAAAGATGAGGCTTTCTGTTCCCATAAAGATTTACAGCCTCGGAAACCCTGTACAGGGTCGCTATGAGTTGGTTCTGACTCCACAGCACATGACCACCACCACGAAGGATACTAAGAAAGCTTATGGGCAGCCATCCATTGATCACATAACAAACACGTTTCGACATAACAAACATGTTTTGTTTGGAATGAGCCTGTGTCTATATGTGCTGGACACCCCCAGTAGCAGTACTTTTTGACTTACCCTTGTATAATATTTTGTAAACACTCTCCTATGTTTCACAATGACTTTTATAATTTGGGGGGACTTCTTTGTTGGTAAGGCTTGGTGTTGCTATTTTTAAACATCCAGTTGGTGGAATAATAACCTGGTTCCAGTGTTGCTAACTGTACTCTTCCGTAGCCTCGCTCTAACTCACGTTGATATATTTCCTTTGGATAAGTTCCCAGCCATGGAATATAGGTCAAAATATGAGTCAGTGTGTTTTACCTAATTTCCCGCCACTTCTGCAGAGTCCGTTTTTAATGGAGTAAGAAAAAAAGTCCCGGGGTAGAACAGTGTGCACTCAACTGAAGGTTGGCAGTTCAAACCCACCCAGTCGTGCCTTGGAAGAAGGGCCCAGTGATCTGCTTTCACAAAGACTGTGGTTGTTGGTGGTTGTGTGCCACTGAGTCAGTTCTGACTCATAATGACCCTGTATAGGGTTTCCAAGGCTGTAATCTTTATAGGAGCAGAAAACCTCATCGTTCCCCCAAGGTGCGACTGGTAGATTTGAACTACTGAGTCTGAGGTTAGCATCCCAGTTCGTAACCCACAACGCTACCTGATGGGATTCAGTTCTACTCTGTAACACACGAGGTGGTGGCTACGGATGCATTGGGATCAGCTCCAGTGGTAGCTAGGCTTTCTTTCTGGCCAGTCTCTTTTTCTCAGAGTGAGAAGAGGGACAACTCTCAGGAGTGGGTTAGTGACAGATTTTTCTCCTCCATCAACAGGTGATTTAGAAAGTGCTCCAGTCCTGAGAAGCTTTGGGGACAGTGGTTGCTTCTTCGAGTTTGAGTGGCGCACAGCAGCTGCCTGTGTTCTGGCCAGGGCGGAGGGTGAGAATTGCACGGTTCTCGATTCCCAGGCAGGTGGGTGTCGTCTGGTGTGGCTTATAACCATTTGCTTTTTTTTTTTTTTTAATTTTATGAATGTTTCAGAGATAACCTCCTTTAGAATTATATTAATCCTGTTTGACCAAAAGTCTGAAGATCTGATGTTTGGGGATTGTTGGCAATATTGAAAACACTATATATAAATTCACTGTTGAATGACACACCTGAGGTACACGAGGAAATAAATGATATTTGAACAGGCTTTTCATGTGAGTTCTAGCCAAGAAACCTGCCCTCAGGGGATTTTACAAGTAGGCCATTGTATTGTGGTCATCTTAGGAGCTTTGAACATACTGATTGTTTACTAGACCTGCAATTACAGACTTTGAATAGAGTTTTAGGTCCACACCGTTAAAAGGAATTGGTGGAATGGAATCTGTTTAGAAGGAAAACATTAGTCATTGCCACGCTGGTGGCCTGAGGGAAGCATATCTCTGTCCCTGAGAAGAGTGTCTGTCTTGACGCAGAAGGCGTGAAGTCACCATTGTTGATTGGGTTCTGACTGACCTGACTGACCTGGATGTTTTTCTTCTTGCTTAGGGTTTTCTTTTGACTTGTCACCTCTGAAAAAGAAAAATGGGGGTTATAAAGTTGAAACAGAGAAGTATGACTTTTACATAAATGTGTGTGGCTCTGTGACAATGGACTCTTGCGAGCCCAACTCGGGAGCATGTCAGGTGGCAAAAAGGCAAGTAACGGTTTTCATTCATGAGTCTATTCTGAGGTACTCTGAGTAACAAATGTCTTCTTCATGAAAGGGGGTGGGTTCTCTCCTAGTATCATTCCATGTGTGACAAGGATTTAAACACTGAGAAGAGCTGACCTAAAAACACTGGAGGGGGCTCGGAGTTTAGTTTTACAGAGAAGCAGCAAGCAGTGTTCTTTGGAGAAGAGTGGGTTTCGTTGATACTTTAGTTCTTTGAGAGTTCCAGTGGGCTAAATAGTGGGTTGCTAACCAAAAGATCAGCAGTTCGAATGCACCAGCTACTCCAAAGTAGATCTATTAGACAGTCTGCTTCAGTAAAGATTCACAGCCTTGGGACCCATGTGGGGAAGTTCTCCCTATCCTCTGGGGTCTCTATTAGTCAGAATCAACCAGATGCCAGTGGTGATTTTTATTGTTTTATGTGCTTTGCGCTGCTCAGATTGAAGTAGCTATACTGGTCTGTGTGGTTCTAGTTCAAATGGAATCAGTTGTACCTTGTGAGCCACAGGTGCTGAGAGTGGGTTGGGGTTCCAGTGAGCAGGGTGGGATGGGAACCCAAGCCCTCTTAGCTTCCACTTGCCCCTCAAGAGTACCCCGCTTAGAAATCCTTCCCAACTGGGAATTCCAGCTGCCTGGCCCTTCCCTGAACACTGCAGCGTTTAGAGTGTTTCTGGTCATTGTACCTTTTTTTTTTTTTTTTTTGAAAGATGTTTGTTTCTTTGTTTTAGTGACAAGAAAGCTTGGAACCTGGGCCTGAGTAATGCTAAGCTTTCGTATTATGATGGGATGATCCAGTTGAACTACAAAGATGGCACACCCTATAATAATGAAAAGCATACACCGAGAGCTACACTTATCACCTTTCTTTGTGATAGAGAAGCTGGGATAGGTGCCCCTGAGTATCAGGTAGGCCTTGTCCCGTGTGTGCACGTGCGTATCTGTGGTGGTGAGAAGGGAGAGAGACAGGGAAAGGAAGCAGCAGCATTCCCTAGCAGGCCCTGCCTAGTACAGTGTGGGTTTTACAGTCAGCGACAACTGTGGTGCCTCCCCGAGGTTCACTGTTAGGTTATGCAGCACTCCCAAACATGTCCACCAAACTGAGCTTGGGCCCACATTTAGAAGCAGGACTGTCTGTTCTCCTCTGATTTCATCCTTCCCTCAGATTGACGTCTTGGGCACTCGTCACTGTTCATATGTAATCACAGTCTCTCCTCCTCAGTGACAACCTGCAATTCTGTTAGTTTTGGGTTCAGAACCTACAGGCATATCAAAAGTCTTCCCTGAGTGTCATTTGACAGAGTCCCAAATGCCATCTTCATTTATTCCTGAGCAATAATCCTTTCAATAAAATGAAAGGGATGGGCAAAATAAACAAAGTGTGTGTGTATGTGTGTGTGTGTGTGTAATGTATATACATCTATATATAATGGAGTCCTGGTGTAGTGCTGTGGGTTAGTGTGCTGGACTACGAAGTCAGCGTGAACCATAAGGTCGGTAGTTCAAGCTCACTAGCCGCTCCTTGGAAACCCTGTACAGGGTCGCTATGGTTGGAATCAACTCGGCAACACTTAACAACACGTATATAAATATAGTGAAATAGATATCAAACTGTATCTATCTATCTATATGTTTGTTACTGTTGTTAAGTACCATCTAGTCTGTTCTTACTCATAGTGGCTCTGTATAGGGTTTCTGATTGAACCACCAACTTTGCAGTCAAACTGAACTTGCGGTCTAGTATTATTCTACAGTGCCACCATACATATATATATGGATATATAGATATATATTTATCTATATCGATCACTGGAGAAGGATGTCATGCTGGGTAAGATGGAGGGTCACAGAAAAAGAGGAAGACCTCAATGAGATGGATCAGCCAGGTGGCATCATTGATGGTGTCAAGTGTGGCAGCGGTGGTAGGGTTGGCCCAGGATCGGACTTGTTTCGTTCTGCTGTGCATGGGGTCGCTATGAGTCGGTTCCGACTCGATAGCACCTGACAACAACAACATCTGTCTATCTATATGTTGTTGTTGTGAAGTGCCGTCGAGTCGGTTCCGACCCATAGTGACCCTTTATAGGGTTTCCAAGGAGAAGTTGATGAGCTTGAACCACTGACCTTGCAGTTCAAACAGCTTTGCAGTCTGGCACATTAACCACTGCGCCACACCAGGACTCCATATATATATGTATATATATATATGGTTACGAATCGGGCTGCGAACCTTAAGGTCAGCGGTTCGAAACTACCAGCCGCTCCGCGGGAGAAAGATGAGGCTTTCTACTCCCGTAAAGATTTACACCCTCGGAAACCCTGTACAGGGTCGCTATGGGTCGGACCCGACTCGATGGCACTTAACAACAACAACAATATATATATATATGTGTGTGTGTGTGTGTATATATATATATATATATATATGGAGCTCTGGTAGCGTAGTGGTTACGAATCAGGCTGCAAACCGCAAGGTCAGCGGTTTGAAACTACCAGTTGTTCCGCGGGGGGGAAGATGAGGCATTCTGCTCCCGTAAAGAAAGATTAACAGCCTCGTAAACCCTGTGCAGGGTCGCTATGAGTCGGAACCAACTTCACGGCACATAACAACAACAAATATATATATATATACATCTATCTATCTATCTATCTATCTATCTATCTATCTATCTATCTATCTATCTACACACACATATTATGGTGGAACACATATAACAAACAACATTTGCTTCAAAACAAAACCCCAAATTATGAAAATAATCATGCTTACTGGTCTGACAGAGACTTCTGGTCACCCTTTAAGCCCTCCTCATAGATCAGCTTTCAGCTAAATAATAACCCTATAAGATGAACACATAGAACATCAGGCAGGTACACACTCCCTGGAAGCAGATCACAAGGGCATCAGGGATAAAGCTCAACTGGAAGAACGGATTGGAGAGAAGGGAGCGTGGAAACAGTAAACCCAGGGAGGAAGTGGGAAAAGCACTGTGGGACTGCAATCATGTCAGAAAGCAAAATGTGTAAGAACTGTTAAAAAAAACAATTTGCTCCGTAAACGTTAACCCAAATCACAACGAAAGGTTAGAATAAACATTTGTTACTTCAGTCATCTTTACGTGGACAGTTTGAGTGGTATTCTCTGTATTCCCCATGTTGTACAACCACCACTGCTACTGGCTTCTAAATTTCTCATCACCCTTCACAGATCCTCAACGCTCCCTAAGCAATACCTCCTGTTCTGCTTCCTTCTGTCCCTGGGAGCCTCTAATAAACTTAGTCTCTATGCATTCATTGGCTTACTCTAGATAGGGAATGTGTTTGGGACCAGGCAGTATCTGCCTTATTTTGACCTTGTTATTTTGCTCAGCATGATGTTTTCCAGGTTGATCCATGTCAATGCACGTATGAGAACACCATCTATCTTTGTTCCTTGTATGGCCAGATCATGTTTTGTTAAATCCGTTTGGCTGCTGATGTTAAAAACTGTACGAGAGATGCAGCTTTTATTTAAGAAATACTGCCTTCTGTTTATTTTTATTTTACTCTATTTATAAAGCTTCTTATTTATGGTGAATCAGGTGAAAGTTTACAGAGCAGACCATCAGTTTTACAATGAACAATTCATACACATTTTGTCTCTTCTCATTGATTGCAGCCCTTCTGTTATAAAATCACTAGATCGTACTTCCCAGTGTTTCCTGTTTCCATTCCGCCTTCTTTCCTAACCCTTCTGAGCTTTACCCTTGGGTAAATGCTGCCCTTTTGATCTCCAACGGTTGATCATTCTAGCTGTCAGTTTTGAAGTGCTGACTTTGGGTAACCTTTCCCTCTTTTTGTTCACCCCCCCATCTCCCTCTTGGCTTGTGGTTAGGAGGAAGATAACTCTACCTACAACTTTCGGTGGTACACCAGCTATGCATGCCCTGAGGAGCCCATGGAGTGTGCTGTGACGGACCCCTTCACATTGGAGCAGTACGACCTCTCCAGGTGAGGGTCTGCCTGGGGGTCCCCTTGCTTGGTCTCAGAAGCCTTGGGTGCTGGTGACCTCAGGACTGAGCTGCTGATGGGACGTAGGGTCAGCACCAAGATGGGAACCTTGAAGCTGCACGATTTCTAACAATAGTCTGGTAATCATTGGGATACCACTGTGGGCAGGACAGGTGCTGTTTGGCCTTCTGCGGACCGGACTGTGCCCTTGTGGTAAACAGACACTCCTCTGTGGTCACTAGTCCTCAGCCTCCAGCATCGCCACGGTAACCACAGGTGTCCACTCAGAGGCTCTGTTCTGGTCAGCAGTGATAACACGGTGTCATGACTCATGGCAGGCTGGTCATGTTCCACTAGATATGTCCTTATTTCTGTAGAAACTACCTAGAAATAACATGGTACCTTGAAACATGCAAGCTCTCTGAAAGCAGCCATTTTCCTTTGAAACCGTAGCCTTGCCAAATCTGAAAGCAGCCTCGGTGGGAACTGGTATGCCCTGGACAACACCGGCGATCGGTCCACCTGGAGGAAATACTACATCAATGTCTGTCGGCCCCTGAACCCAGTGCAGGGCTGCGACCGCGCCACCTCCTCATGCGAGATGAAGTACAAGCGAGAGCAAGTGAGTCCGCCTCCCCCCACCTCCTACGTGTCCTCCGAGTGGGCCGAGGGGCTATTTTGGGACTGACTGATCAAAGGCAGCCTGGTAAACTGATCTCCTCTTGACAGATGTGGGCCAAACCTAATAAAACAAATTCCTGGGGTTGGTGACCTTTGATCACAGTAAGGGCAAAGGAAGTCTGAATTCAAAAGTGTCTTTTGAGTACTTCAGCAGATAGCCGTAAAAAAAAGTAGTCTTTGCTTTCCAAAGCTGTTGCTGCTGGCCTAGCTGGGAAGAAGTCAGCTCTGGCCAGTGACTGTGGGTGGACTTGGTCCACATGCCTGTGCTCTCCCTGGGCTGTGCTGGGCCACCCACTGGGTTCCACTCCTGCTGGAACTTTCCGAAGCTTCCTCGTGGTGGTCGTATATGGCGAATCTTAAAGATGAATGTGTGCCCTAGACCTCAGCTTCCTTAAAATAGCTTGTGGAGAATGAACTTTCCTTGCGCACGCATGTGAAGGGCAGCTTGGAAGTCTTTCAGAGGAAGGAGACGCTCGCCCTCTGGCGGCCGGAATTCAGTTCCTGGTTGCGTGCAGAGGTGCACGTACGCGCTCTCTTTATTGGAGCCATGACCTCCATGCCATCCAAATGACTATGCCACTGGTTTTGTCTTCTGAAGGAAAGCCTAACAAGACTTGCTTCCTTCCAGGGGTTGTCTTACGAGATCGTCTCCATCAGTAACTTGGGTGTGGCAAGGGAGGGTCCCACCATTGAGGACAGGGGCAGCCTTCTCCTGGAGTATGTGAATGGCTCGGCCTGCAAGACCAGCGATGGCCAGCTGACCACCTACACCACACGGATCCACCTCATCTGCTCCCCAGGCAGCCTGGTACGTGGGGCGAGGCACTGGGTTGGCAGCGGTGAACGCTTGGCCTTGACTGTGTCTTAGGTCAGCATGTGCGGGAGCCAGGAGGAGCAGGGAGCATGCTGACGGTGGTTTCTGAAGTTTCAGCCTTTCCACGTTAAGGTGTGATACATCTCAGTACCACAGCAAAGCAGGGGTGGAAACTGAGGGCAGAGAGCAGGAAGGGGGGTGAGGGACTTTGGGCCCCAAGTTCCTCAACCCCAGGAGAGCAGCACAGCAAACCTGAAATGAAAGCGCTGTGGGGTGTTAACAGACAGCCCAGTTGCTTTTCCACCTTGAGGTTCATGTTTTCACGGGGTCATGTCTCTAATAACTTCAAAACTGTTGGGTAAGTACAGAGTGGGGATTCTGAAGTCGTATTCACAATCAGACAAGGGATTGAAAAGTCTGGGTTCATTGTTGTGTCCTCTCTTCACTGAAATGAAACTAGAAAGGCATTTTCTCCTCTTCACCAGCCTGTAACCAGGTGCCGTCACTTCAACCCCAACTCAGGCGACCCCACGTGCTCTAAAGGGTTTTTAACATCTGGATTTTTGAAACCAGATCACCAGGCCTTTTTTCTGAGGAGCCTCTGGAGGGACTCAAACCCCTAGCATTTGGGTTAGCAGCAGAAGTAGTAACCAAATGCACCATTCAATCTAGTAGACTTTCAGTCATTTCCTTGCAGATCTCCAAGTTACATGTGTTGTTTGTAAGCACACTGATTTATCCAAAAGCTTGTGTTTTGAGAATTCTAGAGGGTCCCTCAGAAAGGACTGGAATTGTTAGCCATTTCAGCACAGACTCGTAAATGAAATTATAAATACACCATCCTTTGTGCGCCCTGAATATGGCTCCCGTTTCCTTGTCTGGCTATCAGGAAGGGACCCTGAGGGTTTAGATTCCACAAGCCCTTCATCTCCACCCCCAGCCTCAGAGTCGCTGCCCCTGGACACTTTATGTCCTTGCACCTGTCTAACTCTGCTTTCTTGCTGCCTTGAGATACTGGGTACTTCTAGTAAGTGCTTTGGACCCTCAGTTCTTCTGAGAGACCGTATTTGATGGTGGCTTGTCATTTTCCATCCTCACTGTATCCCTCAGTGTTTGCAGGGGGACTGATATCCAGTACAGATCTAGCACACCTTCAGGAGTGAGGAGAGGTTACCAAGGCCAAACCGTCCCTGTCATAGAGTCCACTCTGACCCATAGCTACCCGGCCGGGCAGAGCAGAGCTGTGCCCCATAGAGCTTCCGAGGCTGTCCTGGCTGTGTTGGTAATCTGTAAAGATTGCGGCCGAGACACCCTTAGGGAGCAGTACTACTCTGCAGTACAGTGTGTTCTCCACGAGTCAAGATCAATGTGAAAGTAATGGGTGTGGTGGTTTGGTCTTGGTGTAACCTGAAACAGAACATTTTCAGTCCCCCAGAAATGCCTGTGCCCCGTCCGGTCACGTCTCCACCCTTGTCCAAGGCTGGCCATCATGCTGAGCTCTGCCCGCGTATTAGTTATGAATTCTGTTGAACTCCCCCCATATAGGAAACCCCACACCCTGTACCCTCTAGTGTCTAGCTCTCAACTCTTGACACTGATTTATAAGAGCAAGGACATGGGACCAGACAGGGTTTGAGTCCACTGGCAGGTCTACTTCCTAACCCGAGTATGAGGTCTAATACCTTCCTCATAGGGATACTGAGGACATTTTATTAAGATTCGATAATGCACATCCAGCACCTACCTTCCACCTGCCACCTAATGCGCAGACAGCAGAGCTGAATGCTTTGATGGGTCAGGTTCATGTTCTGTTGCTTAGTCAAGTTTCTTCTTGTTGTATTGACTTGTCCTGTATGTCACCTTCCAGAACACCCACCCCATATTTTCTCTCAGTTGGGAGTGTGTCGTCACTTTCCTGTGGAACACAGAGGCTGCCTGCCCTGTTCAGATAGCCATGGACACAGACCAGGTACGTAGTCAGCAGCTGGCCCCTCACTGAGCTCTGCTGCCCTGTCCTTCCTGGGGCCCCAGTTCTGAACTTTCCGCCTTCCTGTGTTTCTCAGTCAGTCACCACAACACCGCCCCCTCTGTGTAGATACTAGGGACCCCCACCCCACCGCACTCTGTGGATTCTCTGTCTGTAGCAGAGCTGCTTGTTCTAGATGACATATGTAATGGATTCCTGCATCTCTCAGCACCTACAGCGAGTCAGGACAGGCCTCTGGGAGGCAAATCCACTGCTGTCGGATTGATTCCAATTCATAAAGACCCTATGGAACAGAGCAGAAATGCCACATAGGGTTTCCAAGAGTACTAATCCTGAGAAGTGGCTGCTGGGTTCCAATCAACAACCTTGAGGTTAGCAGCCCAGTGTTTAATCCATTGTGTCACCTGGACTCGTAAACCCACCCCACTGCCATCTTGAGTCCATTCCAACGCATGAAGAATGTATAGGACAGAGTAGACCTGCTCCTTTGGGATTCTGAGACTGCAGATCTTTATGACACATTCTCATCTCCCGAAGAAGGGTTGGTTGGTTTGAACCACTGACCTTGTGGTTAGGAGCCCACTGTGCCACCAGGGCATTTCTGTAGGGTTAAAGCCTGGTTTTAATGTGATGTCCACGGCTTCTAATGACCTGCTTCCAGGCAGGCCTCCTGAACCCCTTCTGCTTCAGCCATGCGAAACGGCCAGCCATTCCCAGGCATTGCCCTGCGCCCCTGGCCTTGGAACGTGCTCTTTCCAACTTAATAAACCCCAAAAGCTCGTTAGTGTTGCTGACCTTTGAACACAATAAAGAAGGCAGAGCGTGGCAGTAGACCCTCCAACTGTTCACGGAGTGCTGGCTCTTTGCAAGCCCTGTGCATATTTCTTTATGCCCCCTCTCTGCCATAAACTTCCTCCAGACTGCACTGGAATGTTCCAACGTGGTGTTCCCTGCTCATAGCACACCAGACATGTCAACTGGGCTGTAGTTGCTGCCCCCAGCCCCCCTGCATTGGGTAGACAGGCAGAAAAAAGACAAAGAGAACCCCAAAGATGGGGTCGAATACATCTTCTGCAAGAATTGATAGAACTGCTAGTGAGCTGCTTCACATTCTTCTTATCATTGGCCTGAAGAGAGAGAGGCAGGGAATGGAACTTGAGATTTCTTCCTTTTCTTTTCATTAATTATTGTCTCTCTATGGTTTTCACCTAACTTTCCCCTCAGGGGTTGGCAGTAGCCTTCCTATTCAGGTAAAAAACGAGTATGGTCATTAAATTATAATTAGGTCACGCATGGTCAGTACGTGTTGCCTGTCAGCTGACACATAGTAAATGTTCCCTGGATGCTCAGTCTTTTTATGGGACAGGCTGCTTTTTAGTCTAGCTTTCTGATAGAATTCTTTTGATTGTCTCAGACTCTGTTTTATTACATTGACTGTCGTTCTGAAGTTGACTTTGCAGAATGCCCTCCTCTAGTGTGATGTGTTTGGTACATTCACCATCTCCGGGCTGGCCTTACCTTGGGAGTATTTCAGGGCCGCTGGAGACCTGCGAGGGAACTCCATTGGTGGGTGTTCTTCATCCTTGGATGTTGAGATGTATGGTCTTGGGCATTCTGTTCCTCAGTCCTTCTATTTTGGCAGAAATATATGAGCATTCTTGATCGGCGTTTCTGGGACTAGCGCGGTCGAGGCAGTTGCTTTATATTCACCGCCTTGTGGCACTGGTGTGACTATGTGCCTTTCTCTCTCTTTCTGTGTCTTGCAGGCCTGTGCTGTCAAGGATCCTAACAGTGGATTTGTGTTTAACCTCAACCCACTCAATAGTTCTCAGGGATACGTGGTCTCGGGCATCGGGAAGACCTTTATGGTAAGAGCTCAGTGATGACGTCCGGTTGATCAGAATGAGGCGAGAGCACGTTACTGTCCTCTTGGCTACTGATCCCTGCCAGCCTGAAGCTGGTCATAATGTATTGGTCACTAGGAGGAGCCTAGAGAATCCAGATTTAAGGAGGAAGTGAAACAGAGCCATCACTGCCATTTTGGTACAGTTCAGATGGGAAGGAGTGTGATTCTTCCGAAAAGGAGTGACTCATGTCCTGTTGCCTGGGGTCTCTGGGTGGTCCAGACGATTGGCATACTCACTGCTCACTGAAAGGTTGGAGGTTTGAGTCCATGCCAAGGCACCTGGGAAGAAAGGACTAGTGATCTATTGCTGAATAAAGCAGGCTTTGAGGACCCCTTGGATCTCAGTGCTACCCTGGCCTACATGGAGGTGCCGTGAGTCAGAATTGACTCTGGCAACTGTGTGTTTTTATTTTCTTTAAATTCTCTTGTCAAGGTCTGTATGTAGCTGAGGTCTAGCGCAGTGGTCCTTGACCAGCAGCAGAAACATCACCTAGACCATGTTAGAAATGTACATTCTCAGCATCTTCCTACCCCCAACTCCCCCAAGACCACCTGAATCAGAAACTCAGGACTGGGCCCACCTCCCACCGATGTGGATGCCCACAGAAGATTGAGAAGCACTGTCTAGAAGAGGTGGTGCTTATATTTCCCTATAAAAGGAAGTTAAGCTGATTAGCAGTGTTTTAGAATCTTCTAGAATTTTCTGACTGAGCCCCACTCAAAGACAGCCCAGAGGTATGCCTGAGGCAGAAGGTGGGAAAGCCCTAGTTCGTGTAGTTTTGGTTCAAACCAAGCCTCATGAAGAATGGTAGAATTTTTTTTTTAATCTCTATTTTGAATTCTTGTAGCAATATCAGATTGGAAAAGCGAGCAAGTTTTGAAAACAGAAGCTGGGGCAAGAGTGTCTTCTAAAAATTAGATGCAGAAAGAGAATTTTGTAGGCTCACTGTATGAAGAAGAGCATCCCGTTCATTCTAGAGTCCTGTGACTTGAGCAGAATTTGTAATTGATCACACTGGTTCCTCTCTAAAACTGAAAGCCCCAAAAGACATGTTGCTGACAAGTCATTTCTGACTCATAGTGAGCCTAGACAGCTGAGTAGAACTGCCCCATAGAGTTTCCAAGGTTCTATGGCTTTGTGACCGCCTCATCTTTCTTCACAGAGGGCCTGGTGCGTTCAAACTGTCAACCTTTTGCTTAGTAGCCAAGTGCTTAACCACCTTACCACCAGGGCTCCCTTGTTGTGTGCCCTTGAGTTGGTTCTGACTCACAGTGACCCGTGATAGGGTTTCTGAGGAGCAGCTGGTGGTGGGTTTGAACTGCAGATCTTGTGGTTTGCCATCTAGGGCTGGTCCTACACAGCGCCGCGCCAGGAGCCTCCAGGACCCCTTACTCTCCCCAAAGTTTTTCAATGATTTCCTTCATCTTGTAGTTAGCAGTCCAGTGCTTATCCTACAGCGCCACAGCAGCTCCCACTAGTCACAGTATGGTTCATGTATTTGGGGACTGTGTTAATATGCAGCGCTGTCAAAGTAAACCCACGTGTACCGAGCCTTAAAGGCGGTTTATAGGGATTTTTATTTATGCTCTGGTTTTTGTTTCTTTTGATAATCAAACCATGGGATGCTGTTAAATGGAATTATAATATCAATTATAAGATTGTTGTTGTTGTTAAGTGCTAATGAGTTGGTCCTGACTCATAGACCCTACATATGGCTTCCAAGGAGCAGCTGGTGGGTTTGAACTATCGACCTTGTGGTTTGCAGTCCAGTGCTGATCCTACAGTACCACACCAGGAGTCCGTAATAATATAATAATAGTAGTGATGATAATAATAGCAAATATCCAGTGTTTGCCTTGGTGAGGGTTTGCACTGCTGGGGTCTGGGGTCAGTTACAGAGTCCTGATCAGCATGTGGGTTCTTGTCGTGTGGATTACAGTTGAACATCTGTGGAGCAATGCCAGTCTGTGGGACTGTTGATGGGAAGGCAGCCTATGGCTGCGAGGCAGAAACCCAGACGGAAGACCTGAAGAACCTGAAGCCGGAAAGGCCTGTCGGAGGCGAGAAAGCCCTTCAGTTGTCCACGGAAGGTTTCATCACACTGACCTACAAAGGCCTGCTCTCCCCTGACAGAGGTGAGTGTGTGCCACAGTCCTTAGAAAGAAGACATGTTGAGAAACAGCAGCTTCATGTTTTCATATTTTAGTTAATGTTTTCTATGGTTTTGTAGCAATGTTTTGCTACAGTTTGACGAACATGAAAATCTGTGTATAGGTTTTGACTCTGTAAGAACAGTGCACACCTTTACCTAAAAGTATGTGAATATGAGCACACACAAACACACTACCCCTAAACCTGACTTTAACCCTGTTCCTAAACTTAACCCTAAACCTATCACTGAAACGGAACTTAGAGCTTACGCTTACACACACCCACACTCACACAGTCATACACATTCACACCTTTCCACACATAAAGCACACACACATGCACACATTCTCACACACACTTACTCATACACACATTCTACTTACACACGCTCGCACATTCACGCACAGATACACATTCTCTCACGCACATACACTCACCTGCCATCTTGTTTCCATGGTGTCACTGGGACTGGTCCTTTAAAAGTCACTCTGCAGCCTGAGGATGATTGTGCTGAGTTACTGATGGCTCAGCTGCTCCCCTTGGCCTCCCACCCCGAACACCCATCTCTCAGGCTCCTGCACATGCTCCTTTGCTAGGGATGCTCTCACACATGCCTTGATCTCGTGTCTTAGATAGGGAAGAAATGACAGGCAGAGATCAGGAAGTTTACCTTGTTTTTCCTAAATTCTTCCTTTCCTCCTGTTCTTCATTCAGTATTCATTGTTCTTGTGTGTCATAAGCAGTGGCACTGTGTTAAATTTGTTAAAATGTCGACTCTCTTCAGCAGAGATGGAGTCGCCATTAATATTCGTTTTTCTTTTTGGTGTCATTCATTACTCTGTAAGATGAAAGCTGAGCCTGTCACCATGGTGGTGGTGGCAGTTGTTTCGACTGCATGCCAGCTATAGCATGAAAGGCTGCATGTGCGCTGGCTGATGCTTCTGTACCCTGACCCTGTGGGCTTTAGTGTTGAAGCCAAGAAGATCCAGAGAGGCATCTGGCATACCCACCCAGCACGGAGCCAGGGCTAGGACTCAGGGCTCCCGGACTCTAGTCCCGGATCTGCCCACTGATGCTATTCTTTAAGCTGAGGCCTATAGAGCTTCAGTTATTTGCAGGTTGAGTAAACAACCCCGTCACTGGGTGTCAGAAATACTTGATTACAAACCTAAAGGTTGGTGGTTTGAACACTCAGTGGTTCTTTGGGAGAAAGTGCTGTCTGCCTTCATTAAGGTAGCCAGTCATTTCTTCCTTATAGTGTCCCCACAGGACAGAGGAGAATGGCTTTCTAAGACTGTAAATCTTTACGGAAGCAGACGGCCTTTATCTTTCTCCCACAGAGCCAATGGTGGGTTTGAACTGCCAGTTTTTCATTTAGCAGCCCAATGTTTAATCCACTGTGCTACCAGAACTCTTCTGTAAAGATTGTTGCTAGGTTGTGAGGTGCCATCGAGTTGGTTCTGACTCATAACAGCCCTCTGAAGACTTTTCCTATAACGTAAATCTTTATGGGGGGCAAAATGCTGCCTCTTTTTCCTATGGAGTGGCTGTTGGGTTTGAATTGCTGACCTTGTGGTTAGCAGTCTGGTGCTTACCCTAAAGATGACAGCCAAGAAAGTCCTGTGGAGTAATTCTGCTCGGTTGCCATGAGTCAGAAATGACTCCACCACAATGGTTTTGGTTTTCAGTTTATGATCAATGAACAAATGAAGTTATGTTGTTTTCTTTTTCTGTAACTTTTTATTGTGAATTGAGCGAAGGTTTACAGAGCAGATCACCAGTTTTGCAGTCAACAAATCCTAGCCTTTGTTTTATTATGATCACAGTTAACCTCCATGTACCATCGGTTTACCTCTAATCACTTTAACTCATGATTCTTCCCTGTGAACCTTTCCTGTGCCAACTCCCACTTGGGGATTGCTTGCCCCGTCTTCCATGTGAAAGTATCTGCCCTCTGTTGTTGTTGCATGTCGTCCAGTCAGTTTCAACTCATAGTGACCCTGTATAGAGTTTCTGAGGAGCAGCTAATGGGTATGAACTGCTGACTTTGTGGTTCGAGACCAGTGCTTATCCTGGAGCACCACCCCAGAAGTCTAATCCCCTGCCTCCAACTGTCATAGAGTTCATTGCTTCCTAATGCCTGTATTGCTAGATGGATGTTGTACTTCCTAACGTCTGTATTGATAGACAGATATTGTACTTTCTAACATCTGTATTGATAGACGGGTGTTGTTCTTCCTAACATCTGTATTGATAGACGGGTGTTGTACTTCCTAATGTTTGTATTGATAGATGGGTTGGGAGCTTTCTGTAATAGTAAGATGCCAAGACATTAAGATCGCACTACAAGATCATCATAACTAAGGCTGCTGTTGCTATACCCTTGGCTGGTCTGATGTAATTGCTCTAGACACTGCTGTGTGTGTGTTTCCTGGTGGCAGCCTGTCGCTGCTGCACCCCACTGACTGGGCTGCACTTGCAGTTACTGTTGCGGTTCTTAACCTCGGGCCTTCCCATCCACAGGTACTGCTGATGCTTTCATCATCCGCTTTGTGTGTAACGATGACATTTACCCAGGAACACCCAGATTCCTGCACCAAGACATCGACTCTGGGCTCGGAATCCGGGACACATACTTTGAGTTTGAAACGGCTTTGGCCTGTGTGCCTTCTCCAGTGGACTGCCAAGTCACCGGTACAAGACATGTGGTCCAGGGGTCAGGGACATGTCAGCATGTGTGTGTGTACGTGTGTGTGTACATTTGGGACATATGTGTATGCTGAGTTATATAGGCATTGACATTTGTGTTCTATGCTTTCTTTGAGTGATGTGTACAGTTGTAACACTTCTTCTGACATGAATCGGGATATGGGATATAATTTATGGTCTGAAGCTTTGGGATCAGATGGTGCTTGAGCACAGGGAAGAACATGGTGGGTAAAGTGGGGTGGGGGGAGTCAAACACGTTCAGAGATTCTTATGAGGAAGCAAAACAAAGGGAGTAGAGGCTCTGTAAATGCTCTCTCAGGCCTCTATTCTCTGCTGTTTCACTCGCCTTGCCTCATCCATGAGGAGCTCTAACTTTAGAAGGAAGGTTCTGTCGAACAAAGACAGGTGTAAGTGTGTAGGGACAGCCTTCTGTCTTCTGTGAATTTCCTTGTTTCCCCTTGGGAATGTCACCCTTGTGTGTATTGTTGGTCCACCAGCTGGGGCTGAGAGCCGATGAGTAAGTGGGCTTAACCATGTCTCACTGTGTTTCAGACCTTGCCGGAAACGAATACGATCTGAGTGGTTTAAGCAAAGTTAAGAAGCCTTGGACTGCTGTTGACATCTTAGCCGACGGGCAAAAGAGAACCTTCTATCTGAGTGTTTGCAATCCTCTTCCTTTTATTCCTGGATGCCACGGTGCGTCCCACTTCATCTCCATTTAAGGCTGGACCTGTTTGTTAGAGCCGTTAGAATCAGTCTTCCTCCCCAGCCCCCCAGGTCCCCGTCTGACTCTCTTGCTCTTTCAGGCAGTGCAATGGGCGCTTGCTTAATCTCAGAAGACAACAGCTGGAACCTGGGGGTGGTGCAGATCAGTCCTCAAGCCGCGGCCAATGGCTCCCTGAGCATCGTGTACGTCAATGGTGACAAATGTGGGAACCAGCGCTACTCCACAAGGATCATGTTCGAATGCGCTCAGACGTCGGTATGTGTTCACACCCACAGTGAGGCCAGGGCTGGTTCCCCTTTCCCAAGAGTTCAAGTCTTCCACCTAACTGAGGATGTATCTGTCTGTTCTTGGGTGTTAGATCATCGTGGGATCTGACTAGTATTAAAAAAAAACTCAACAACCCCCCGAGCCCACTGCCATTGAGTTAATTCCGATCCATAGTGGTTCTTTGGGACAGAGTAGAACTGCTCCTCAGGGTTTCTGATCCTTCTGCAGAGTAGCTGGTGAGTTTGATCCACTGACCTTGCAGTTAGCAGCCCAGCACTTTACCCACTGTGGCACTAGGGCTCCTGTGACTAGTGTACACTATTAGAAACAAAGAACCCAAAGCCCTTTGCCTCCAAGTCAATGCTAACTCGTGCCACAGCTTTCTCCCATGGAGTGGCTGGTGGGTTTGAACTGCTGAGCTTTTGGTTAGCATCCCCAGGGATCTTATCACACCACCAGAGCCTCTGAATATACCCTGTCATGCCCCAGATCCACATGGGTGACTCTAGGCTCTGGTTCCGATTCCTGACCACTTCACCTCATGCTTAGCTATCACCCTTCTGGTCAGTGGAGGCTTTTGTGTTTCTGTGACACTGGACGGATTTTAACCAACTTCCAGACTTACCAGGAGGAAGGGCCTAGAGATCTATTTCTTAAAATCAGCCAGTGTAGAACCCTGTCGGTCCCTGATTCCTGGTGACCCCATGCACAATGGAACACAGTGCAATGAACTCGAGGAGGGTGCAGGACTGCACAGCATTTTCTTCTGTTGGGCATGGGTCGCCATGAGTCGCCATGAGTTAGTGACACTCCACGGTCACTAACCACAACAGCAACAACATTTTGCTCTTGGAAGCTAACCATTGGGTATTGTGTGGGGATGTCAGATGGCTGAATTTTTATGAATGGAAAACATGCTTCTGGTGTGTATTCCAGGGATCACCAACGTTCCAACTTTTGGACGACTGTGAGTACGTGTTTGTCTGGAGAACGGTGGAGGCCTGCCCTGTTGTCCGAGTGGAAGGTAAGCCACCCTGGCCTGCTCGTCACCAATCCTCAGCCATGCAATGGAGCTGACACTCCAAATCCTACTTGAGATATGCATCCTCGTAGCCTTGACCGCCTGGGGGTGGCTAGAGCGCTTGTTAGCCGGTGGATAATTCCTCCTCTGCCCTGAAGACACTGATGTGGCCTTCTATGTTGCTTTGTGTGATAAAGCCGAGCTTTATCCCGTGTCCCAGCCTTTTCTAGAAAGCAGCTTGCCAACTGATAAGTATGGCACTTGCCAACTGATAAGTTTTAGAGGTAGCCTCATAAAACCTGCTTGAAGTATTTGAAGGCCAGTGGAAAGCTGTGAAGTTTATTGCGTAGTGTGATGGTGTCTAGTTGCCCTAACCTGTCTCCTATGTGTTGTTGAAGGGGACAACTGTGAGGTGAAAGACCCCAGACACGGCAACTTGTATGACCTGAGGCCTCTGAGCCTGAACGACACAATTGTGTCTGCCGGAGACTACACCTACTACTTCCGCGTCTGTGGACAGCTTTCCTCGGATGTCTGTCTAACTCAAGACAGGTCCCAGGCGGTCTCGTCGTGTCAGGAAAAACCCGGACCCCAAGGGTTTCACAAAGTGGCAGGTACGGTAGTTTTGATTTGACTTTTGCTGCATGCGAATGGGGTTTACTAATGAAGATGTCATGCTAAACACTCTGTCTTCCTTGAGTAGAAGGGATGGCGACTGTATTCTAAAGGATTATCATCTGATTGATGTTTCTTGTTTGAATTGCTTAACCAGAGCGTGTCCTGAGAGTGTTGTCAGAGTGTGTTTATTCTGCCCGTACTTCGCAGTACTGGTGACTTTAGGCTAAGATGGGTTTTTTTTTTCTGTCCCCGTGTGGGGACATACAGAACTAGTCCATAATGGGTGCTGTTATCTAGAATTGAGTCCAAGGGGCAGATGTTGAACAGAGTTTGCTGTGAAACCACACGGCTGGCTGTTGGCTACCCATTCAGCCGGACAATGATAATAAGTTTCAAACCTTTTAAAAAACGAGTCCCTGGCACGGGAGCGCTGCGTGATGGGAAGTGTCTCCTCTCGTTAAGTGGGCCGTGCAGTGTCTCCACTCTGCCTCTAAGTCCATATTGATTCAGGCTGCACGGCTCACCGTGCTCTCTAGAAGCCTGGAAACCAGGGCACTTAGGGAGCAAAAGCCTGCTTAATGTGCTGTTTCTTCTGGAACAGGGCTCCTGAACCAGAGAGTGACTTATGAAAATGGACTGTTAAAGATTAACTACACGGGGGGCGACATTTGCCATGAGGTGTACCAGCGCTCCACAACTGTCTTCTTCTACTGTGACCGCATCACACAGAAGGTCAGTGTGTGCCATGTGCTAGGTCACCAAGGGTGCCTCTCCCGATGCGGGCGGGTCTCGTCTCGGTGTCAAGCAGCACTCATATAGCTGATAAAATCTCCTGTGGACCGAGTTTAAAATACAGGATTTACATAAAATATATTGAAACGTTCTCCAGTTGATATAGATTTCAGTGTAAATCTTCATCTATAAAGGAAAGCATGAACACTTGGCTTTTTTTTTTTCATTATTATTTTATTGTGAGTTATTTGAAGGAGCTTTAGAAAGTTCCTGGAAAAATCCCATTAACTTTCAATTCCATTTTTTTCATGACTTTTGAAACCCTGTTGTATGTGACAAGACATCTGCCATCTTGACCATTTCTCAGTGTGCAGTTCAGTGGTATTAATTACGCCCACCATGCTGGGCACTTTCAGCATTATCCATTTCCCAAATAGTTGTATCATCCCAACAGAAACTCAGTATCCTATAATCGATCACTTCCATTTTCTCCTTCAACCCCAACCCCTGTTGTTGTGAAGTGCCACCGAGTCAGTTCTGACCCATAACGACCCTGTATAGGGTTTCCAAGGAGCAGCTGGTGAGCTTGAACTATCGACCTTGCAGTTCAGACAACTTTCAGTCTGATGCATTAGCCCACAGTGCCACACCAGGACTCCATCCCCCAACCTCTAATAATAATAATAAACATTTCTCTCTACATTTAGCTGGTGTAGAGATTCCATAGAAGTGTCACCAGACAATCTGTGTCCTTTTGTGTCTGACTTCACTAGGCTTCATGTTTTCAAGATCCATCCATATCATAACACGCTTCAAGGCATCATTTCCCTTGGTGACTGAAAATATTCTGTTGTACGTGCATAGTGCATTATGTTCAGTCATCTGAGGAAGGACACTTGGGTTGTGTCTACCTTTTGGCTATTGTGGGGTAGCCGTAGGAGACTTTCTGAATTTTTTGCTGGCATGTCTCTTCGGTGTGCATCTGGGAGTTCCCTGAAGGTTTGTGTTCCCATGTACTACAACTGAGTCATCTGTTAACTCTTGCAGCCAGTGTTTCTGAAGGAGACTTCAGATTGCTCCTACTTGTTTGAGTGGCGCACACAGTATGCCTGCCCTCCCTTTGAAACCACGGAGTGCTCGTTCAAGTAAGTGGATTTGCATGTTGACTCTGGGCACTTGGGTGAACTCCATGGGACTCTGCTTTCATAGTGGACGGGCTGGGTGGCATGGGATTAGAGTCATCAGTTAAGTCTCTCTCTCTCTTTTTTTAAATAATATTTTCTTTTATTATAATATATTTCATTTTTGTTATTATTATTGTAAATATACACAGCAGGACATATACCTATCAAACAATTTCTATGCGTACTATTTATGAATTAAGTCTCTTGGCCTCGGTTCCTTACAATGAAAATGAGGCATTGGATTAGGCCAGCTGCCCGTTTTGGGATTAGTCTGCATGAAAATATGGGTAAGAGTGGGAGATTGGAGACTAGAAGAGGACGGACCCGGGGCTCGCCTGTCCTCTGTCCTTCCCTCAGACACTTGTCTTGGGGATACAGATACAGAAACGGCTGGTTTCCTTCTTTGAGTGAGTTTCACACGGAGGATGGTAGTGAGCCAGTGGGAATGTGAGGGAGGGTGTCGAGAGCTGGAAGGAGGGGGACACTCCAACTGCCAGCTTCCTTGGTTCTTCATGGTTGTCTTGAATTCCTTTTGTTACCTGTGACTCAAATGCCTCCTGATATTGGACCCTGTTGCAACGCTGATGTGTAGTGGACTTCCTTTTGTGTTCACTTCAACTGCCATTGTTCGATTCAGTCAGACTCACCCATGACCTTGCAAATGAAACATTCTTGGGTCCTGCCCCTCGAGGCCTTCGCTGCGTAGGGAGCTTCTCTTCTCACTGGCCTAAACTTGCAGAGTACATGTTCCTCTGATTTTTTTGGGGGGGATGGTGGGGTGGTGGTCAATACTTGATTTTGTGAAACTGAGTCTGGTGACTTCCTGAACTCAGTCATACTGCTGCTGACTCTGGCTGAGTGTGGAAGAGGCCTGAGCTCAAAGTTCTGCCATCATGTAAGAACCAAGTCTCAGGACATCTGTGGTGGAGGTGCCTTACGTACATGAATGTTGCCAGCTGAGCGATACATGTTTAGTGAGAATGACTGAACCTAACCATGGCTTTCTCTTTATATCAGAGATAGTGCGGGGAACACCTTCGACCTCTCATCCCTGTCAAGGTACAGTGATAACTGGGAAGCGGTCACGAGCACGGGGGCCACAGAACACTACCTCATCAACGTCTGCAAGTCCCTGGCTCCGCAGGCTGGTGTCGGTGAGAAATGGCTCAGCTGGTGTAAAGGCTGTGCTGACAGTCCTGGGAAAGAGCGAGTAGAAATGGGCCTTGTTCAAGGTGCTAAGGCACTTCACTCTCTGGCACACACAGGGACTATTTAAAGGATTTGGATGCTCAATCCCCGATAGGATTCAGGACACCTACTGACGGCTCCCTGGGAAGGGAGATTTACTGCGATTTTTAATATGAGTTCTTAGAAGTAGGTAGGTGTGATAATGCTGGTGAGGGATTCTTAGTAGGGTAGAAGATAGAAAGGTGTAAAATGGGTTTTGTTGTGTGTCCACCACACTTCTTGAGAGAGTGGCGGGGTGGTTTTTCTAGGACGCAGGTTCAGCTTGCTCAAATGCTCAGTGCAAGGGCTAAGACAAACTCAGGCATGCACATGGGGCCAGGGCTGCTGTGGGATCCTCAAGAGTGAACTTGACCCCTATTTTGGGGTCTCTTTCCTACAGCTTACATGCCTCAACTGCAGAGAGTGATTTTTTGTTTCATATTCTGGAAGGTTGGGGCCATGGGCCAGTTCCCCATGCTACAGTGTCCGGGGCAGGCTCAGAGTCTATGAAGTGGGGCAGGTCCCTCACCTAGGCTCTCACTGACCTTTCTAGGACTGACCCCTCACCCAGGGTCTCATAAATTAGTTGTTTGGTGACATTCTTGGTCATTTTATGAGTAAAGATATTGGCTTCCTCTAGAATTTTGACTCTGCCGTATCTGAGGTTCAACAGTAATTTAGACTACTGCATCTTGACTTCCCCCACCCTCAAGTCCACCGTAGCCCGTCTGTGGTGAAACAGTGTTTACATGAGCAAGGACTCAGTGTGATCTAAGTTACATAAAAGACACAGCAACTATTCTGTGATGGCTGTTTTAGAAAAATGGGCTCCAGTTCTTGGCATATCTACCCTTCCTGGGCAGGTAGTTCTCTTCTAGATGGTACATTTCCTGATGAATTTCACTGTGCCCCCTTATATTGCAGAGCCATGCCCACTGGAGGCAGCTGTCTGTCTGCTGAACAACTCCAAGACCGTGAACCTTGGCCGAGTGAAGGATGGCCCTCAGTGGGAAGATGACTCAGTTGTCCTCAAGTACGTGGATGGGGACTTGTGTCCAGACCAGATTAGAAAAAAGTCAACCACCATCCGATTAACCTGCAACAAAAACCAAGTGGTAAGTGACAGAACCCCCTTATTGCTGGAACCCCCAGTGACGTAACCCCTCACCTCATGATACAGCCCATTGGTCCACTGCCGGCTATGGCTAAGTGACAGTGTCCAACCCTCTGATTCCTACAGCTTTGGAAGCACAACAAATCCTGGGGTCTGTGAGACCAACATCCTTTTGTGCCTGCCCAGGGATGTGAGTGGAAGAGTGGAAGATATATGACTTAGCTATGAGTGAAGACAGTAGCAAGGTCACCTCAGCCCTGTGGCTGAGGAAGAGATTTCTTCCCTGGCTCCTCAGATACCCACTCTGACAATTTTCACTTTCGAATTAGTTACGTCTCTTTTATGTTTAACTCAGATCCTCAGAGGTTGTGTGGAAAACTGTTGTTGACCACATGCCTGTTGTCTCTGTGTGGGCAGCTGGGAAAGATGAGAAGTGGGGCCACATCTGCTTCCAGGGGTGCCTGCTCATGCCCCAGCTGTGACTGGGCTAATTATTCCGTCACACTAAAATGTTTATCCATCAGTACCAAGACCTGTGCCTGACTTGCCAAATTGTTGCTCCTGGTATGTCGTAGGGGTTTGTTGTTAATAGGGCCATCTCCGTGACTGATTCCTTCTCCTAGTTGGTTGGCGGAGTCCTGGTGTGGCACTGTAGGATAAGCACTTGATCGCAAGGTCGGTTTGAATGAGTCACTCCTCAGAAACCCTATACAGGGTCACTATGAGTCAGAACCACTGCAAAGCACTTAACAACAACAGTTGGCTGTTGGCACTTAAGTAGATCTTGACTGAATGAACGATTTCTCTTGGGTATTTTTCACCACAGGAAAATCTGTGAGTGTAAGGTTAAGAAGATGAAGATCCTTGGATTTGGGTTGCAGTTAAGTTTGGGGACAGGGCCCAATTGGACCAGTCTACTGACTGTGCAGACGAGTGACCTGACCCCATAGCTGTGGTCAGGAGGTGGACTTGGAGGAGCCCCTACCCTCCTTACTTGAGTCTCTCAGTTCTTTGAAGGAAGAATGTGCAGAGGCTGAAACTAGACCCTTGAGCTTTTAGGGCCTGAAACGGCCTGGTAGGCTTTCTCCCTCAGCACCTGACAGAGACGCTCCTGGGGAAGGGGGATGGTGGACAGAGACGACAAAGGGACAGTGAGTGGTCTGCATGACCACTGCTCTCTATGAACCAGTGTCCCCAGGTGGGGTCAGATCCCAGTGTGGGCTTGTCGTAGCCGGCAGCAAAGCAGGCGCAGTATTTCCATGGAAGGAGTGTACTGGGAGAGCAGTCCTAGGACTTCTGTGTGAACGGGAAGCATTGGAAAAGCACACACCGAGCCAAGCGCATAGGGCACGGACGCTAACTGCTGCTTCTGCCGGCAGGTCTGTTTGTTTTGTCCACAACAGATTTTAGTTGAGAGTTCTATCAGTTATTTCTTCCACGTTTACAGTTGTCCTTTGACACCCCAGCCCGCCCCTAGCCCTGTTAAGTGCCATCGAGTCACTTCTGACTCATAGCAACCCTGTATAGGGTTTCCTAGGAGCAGCTGGTGGGTGGGTTAGAACCATCAACTTTGTGGTTAGCAGTCCAGTGCTTACCCCGCAGCTCCCCGCCCAGTCCTTTGTGCTTTAGCCTTGTGAAAACCATCTTGGTTCACTAGCAGGCTGTCTGACTCTGGGTTCTTTGAGCCGCGATTTTAAGTCTCCAGTGGTTTCTCAGGAACAGATTGTGACCTTTTGTTTTCCACAATCTTTCATCCCCTGAAGACAGTGAAGAAGCTTTGTTGTGCATGTCAGCTGTCTGCCCTCAGCCCTCATGCAGATTTCTCTGTCTTGACCTTAGAACCCCAGACCCATGTTCATCAGTGCGGTGGAGGACTGTGAATACACCTTCTCCTGGCCCACATCCGCCGCTTGTCCTGTGAGAAGTAGTGAACATGACAACTGCCAAGTCACCAACCCCTCCACAGGTGAGGCTTCCCGCAGTCACCAGCCCTCCACGAGTAAGGCCTCGTGTGGGCACTAGCTCTGCCACAGGTGAGGTGCCAACCCCAGCATGGGTGAGGTACCAGTCTTGGCACAGATGAGCCCCCCCCCAAAGCTGACACCTGACATAGGTGAGGCCTTGCATGGCAAACCCACCACCGGTGGTAGCAACCCCGGTAGCAACTTAGCCACGGGTGAGTCCTTGTGCGGCCAGCAGTCTTGCCGTAGGCGAGGCCAAGCACGCAGCAGTGGCTGGGGCATGCTCTTTACCCTTCAGTGCATGCTTGGCCTTCTTGGATCAGTTGATTGTGTTTGCACACTCTGTGCCTTCCGTGGGAAGCGTGTGTGCTGTCTCCCTGAGGAGGCCGCGCTGTCACGATCCCTGCCAGGCCTGGCACTCAGGGCCGCAGCTAACAGGCTCCCTGCTGTCCACCACACCACGTCCCTGTCAGAGCCAAGAGGGCGGAAGCCGACAGCGAGCTGTGTCTGCATGGAGACACAGGGCGTGTGTGCAGGAGGAGTGTGCTGGCAGTGTGTGGGACGCCACGTCAGACCCAGAAGGAAGATGAACCTCTCTTTTCTGGAGACAGGCGGGACAGTGCACTTGGGGACTGAAGGCCTCGTGATGTTGACTAGCCCGTCACAAGCACTCCCTAGGCCACACCAGTTAGAGGCTGCCATTCAGCTACTATGGAAGGGTACTGGTTTGAAACCATTCAACAGCACTGCAGAAGAAAGACCTGGCAATCTGGTGCTGCAAAGATTACAGCCAAGAAACCCCCAGAGTTCAGTTCTCCTCTGCAGCGCATGGGGTGGGATGGGCGTGAGGGCTTCGGGTCAGTGGGCCAGTGAGAGGGGCAGTAACTCGTGGTGAGAAGTCGGAAAGCAAGTCATGGTGCATGACTGAGCACAGCGCCCCCCGGAGTTACTGTGTCCCATTCCTGTCCCCCACAGGTCACCTGTTCGATCTGAACCCTTTAAGCAGCAGAGTTGGGTACACCGCTGCCTACAGCGAGAAAGGGCTGGTTTATATGAGTGTCTGCGGGGAGAATGAGAACTGCTCTCCGGGCGTGGGTGAGTGGCTGGGGCATCGTGTCTCTGGGGCACGGTCAGTGGGTACGGCCACAAGAGGCTGGGACATCAAATCTGAGGGGCCTCCCAACAGTGTGTGGAAAAATGCCATAATCTTCTCAATTCTACTTTTCCATGACTGGAGCCCCCTCATAATAGATGTGTCCAAGGTATCAGAAGCAGGCCGGCCACTGGGAATGGCATGCTGGCCTGTTGTGCCCTCTCGTCAGCTGGGCACTGTGAATCTGTCACCGTGTTTCTCACGGGCCCTGACTCTGTGCCCCAGGCGCCTGCTTTGGACAGACCAGAATCAGCGTGGGCCAGGCCAATAAGAGGCTCATCTACGTGGACCAGGTGCTGCAGCTGGTGTATGAGGACGGCTCCTCTTGTCCTTCCAAGCTGGGCCTGAGGTATAAGAGCGTCATCAGCTTTGTGTGCCGGCCGGAAGTAGGGCCGACAAACCAGCCCATGCTCATCTCCCTGGACAAGCAGACTTGCACCCTCTTCTTTTCCTGGCACACGCCGCTGGCCTGCGAGCAGGTGGTGAGTTTGAGATGGCTGATCTGAGAAGTGCTTGGCCACCTTGGGACCCAGTCTTGCACCGCTGTGTTGTGCTCCCTGGTGGGGCCTTGGCAGCATGTTCCAGCACACCTGACCATCCTAGTAATAAGGACAGTGGAAAGCATCCAGTATTGTGTAGCCAGGCATTTGGGGATGTTGTTGTTAAGTGCTGTTGAGTTGGTTCTGATTCATAGCGACTCTGCATAGGGTTTCCGAGGAGTGGCTGGTGAGTTTGAACTGCTGACCTTGTGGTTCAAACCCACCTTGCAGTGCTCATCATACATTAGTCCATTCTTACTGCTTTTTGTATGTTTTGTGTTTTAAGTTTATTAAGCAACCGAACCCAGCTGCTGTTGCGTTCACTCTGACTTATGTGTCGGAGTGGAACTGAGCATCATGGGATTTCAGTGGCTGCTTTTTCCAAGGTAGATCAGCAGGCCTTTCTTCCCAGGTTCCCCTGGGTGGGCTTGAACCTCTTAACCTTTTGGATAGCTAAGTGTGAATATGTTTACACCACCTAGAGACTCCTTTAACCTCTTAAGAGTGACTTCATAGTAATTAGAGAGCCCTGGGGTTACAGTGGATTAAATGATGGGCTGCTCACCATAAGGTCAGAGGTTCAAAGCCACCGCCAGTCCACACCTGAATGATGAGGCAATTTGCTTCCATGACGATTTACAAACCACACAAAGCAGTTGTACTCGGTCCTAGAGGGTCACTGTGACTGGGAACCAACAGGCAGTAGGATTTGGCACTGAGCTCCTACGTGGTCTGTTCCACTTGACAGATGGAATGTTCCGTGAAGAACGGCAGCTCCATCATCGACTTGTCCCCCCTGATCCACCGCACTGGGGGCTATGAAGCGTATGACGAGAGTGAGGAGGGCACTTCTGACACCAACCCTGACTTCTACATCAATATCTGCCAGCCACTGAACCCAATCCATGGAGTGCCGTGTCCTGCCGGGGCAGCTGTGTGCAAAGTGCCCATTGACGGGGCCCCCATCGTGAGTACGGGGCATCCAGGGGCGGAGACAGATTTTCAGAGGGATCGTCATGCTGTATTTCTTGCTGTCATTGGAGAGTTACTCAGGCAGAGAGGACGGAGACAAAGCCAGGGATGCCAGCTGTAGGACCTGGGAATTGAGATGTCAGGAAGCCTTTGCTTTTGCAAAGCAGCCGCACATACATGCACTTACGTATGTGTGTACATGTGGAGGCGCACAAGTACATATAGATAAGGTCAGTCTCAGACCCATGCACATACAAAGAAAAATACAAACCTCCATTTCTGGCTTTTCACTTTTCTGCCTTTCATGCATTCATTCCTTCACTTGTGTTTATTGGGAGCCCTGGTGGCGCTGTAGGGTAAGCACAAGACTGCTAACCACAAGGTTAACTGTTCAAATCCAGAAGCTCCTCCGAGGGAGAGAGATGGGGCTTTCTGACCCTTTAAAAGATTGGCAGCCTTGGAAACTCTCTACAGGGTTCCTACGAGTTGGGATCGACTTGGTGGCAGAGGATTTTGTAATATTCATAGGGCAGCCATGTGTTAAGTACTACACAGTGACAGTGGTCACCCCACCTCCTGGCCCATACGGAAGCCCGGCAGAGCCTGTGCAGGACTGGAGGGAGGAGGTGGGTCACAGCAGGTAGGGCTGAAGGTTCCGTATGTGGCTTCTCCTACTGCAGTAGAGCACAGAGCACGGAGGGAGAAAAGCTCTGGAAACTCTGTAGCAGACTTAGGTTAGCATCCAAACACAGACCCAGCAGTGTGCGGGCGTTTGCCTGTAGCAGTGATAGCTGTGCCCCGTGTTCAGAGGTGCTGCGGGGTTTGTGCAGTGCCAGGTCAGTCTTTATGGCCCTACCCTTGGGCACCACCAGATCCTGAAACATTGTCACCTTTGTTCTTTGTTTAGGATATTGGCCGAGTCACGGGCCCTCCAGTGCTTAACCCCTCAGCAAATGAAGTTTACATAAATTTTGAAAGTACCACGCCTTGTTTAGCTGACAGTCGTTACAACTACACCTCCCTCATCACCTTTCACTGTAAGAGAGGCGTAAGCATGGTAAGTCGGGCTGGGATGTGGGTCCGGGGGACACAGGCATGTGAGAGAGGCGTGAGCGTGGTAAGTGAGGCTGAGGCTGGGGTGTGGGCCTGGGGTCTGCATGCACGTGAGAGAGGTGTGAACTTGGTAAGTGAGGCTGGGGTGTGGGCCTGGAGGGTCTGCATGCATGTGAGAGAGGCGTGAACTTGGTAAGTGAGGCTGGGGTGTGGGTCTGTGGGCCGCAGGCACATGAGAGAGGCGTGACTTGGTAAGTGAGGCTGGGGTGTGGGTCTGGGGTCTGTCCTGACTCTCAGCATGGGTCTGGGATACTCCAGTCAGCAAGTCAGTCAGTTGTTGATGTGGAAATGCGTGCTCGTGCTGGGAGTGAGCAGGGAAGCTTGCTGCACTTCCCTGTGAAGCAGCATTCCACACTGCCCACAGAAGTAGAAAAGTATCCTTGTCTTTTTCTCCTCGGACATCCCTGACTTTAGTCTTATTTGAAAGTCAGGGTTTTGGCATCTCTCACCATTCAGAACAAAACTCAGAAGTGAGCGCACAGTCAAAGACCCCCGGAATCAGAGCAGCTGCAACTGAGTGACCCACTCACACCGAGGAGGCTATTGCCTTACTTGATGCGCAGTTTAAGAATTCCAGTGCCCATGGGAGTTCCATTCTGTTCTAAGAGTTTGTGTCCGGGTTCTCCTGGCTCCTCGGTGAGCTGAGCTAAGTGGTGAGGATGCTGACCATCAGGGTGGTGGTGTGGAGCCACTGCCATCATCTGTCCTTCAGCACAGACTCACACCCTGCCCCGGAGTCAGGTAGCTCCTTGGACAGGAAGGGTCCTGAGTCTCATTGTGGTCTGCATCCGGTCCCGTGCAGTGTGAATAGTCATGTTTTGCTGCCAAGGTAGTAATGCACTTGATAACAGGATCTGGAGAAGGGAGAGTGTGTATGCGTGCATACACATGTATACGTGAGTAGGTGTGTATGCTTGTGTGTAGCAATATGTACATTGTATGTGAGTGTATGAAGTAGGTATGTATGCTTGTGTGTAGCGATGTGTACATTGTATGTGAGTGTTATGAAGTAGGTATGTATACTTGTGTGTAGCGATGTGTACCTTGTGTGTGTGTGTGTATGAAGGAGCTTCAAGAAGCTATGTATATGTAGGTAACCTAGATCTATGAGGGGACTTCAGAAAGTTCGTGGAAGAATCCTGTTAGTTTTTCCATTCCATTTTTTTCCACAAGCTTTTTGAAGCCCCCTCCTATATGTGTGTATGTGTATAACATATATACATATCCTGACTTGCTTCTCAAAAGTCCTTAAGGTGGTTCCGGCTGCTCTGGCTCAGGGGTAACGATGGTGGTTCTCGGAGGTGCCTGCAATGCCATTTAGGGTGATTTTCAGTCCCAAGAGCTGCGGCAGATGTGGGATGGGGTAGGGATATTGCTGCTAGAGGAAAGTGTGTGGACACCGTTAGTAAGTGGCCTGACTTCAGGATGACAAGGAGGGACAGTGCAGGCACATCTAGGGGGAGCAATGAAAAGCAGCCCTGAGTCTGGGGGGGCAGGGGGTCACCATGGAAGTCCGGAGCTCCTTCATGCTCTGCCACGGCACGGTTCCCGAAGGCTCAGCGTCACGGTTCCCCTGCGCGATGAGTAGGTTAAAGTGCGTATGCCTCCATTCCTTTGTGCACGAATCTGCATGTTTATTTGCATGTGTCTGCATGCACCTATAAGGAGCCCTGGTGGAGCAGTGGGTTGGGCTACTAACTGAAAGGTTAGCAGTTCAAACCCACCAGCAGCTCCATGGGAGAAAGATGCCCTATAGGGTGGCTCTGCATAGCACTGGACTGGGCGGCAGGGCCTCTGGTGGTTTGGTTTGGTACACATCTGTAGGCACACACAGACAGGCATCCACTGTCCTTTGTAACCGGGGTTCCTCACTCCTTCCTGTGGCTGTACCTGCTCTCAGACTCCACAGCTCCGCAGACGGGCCGTGCTGCCGACAGACTCTACACATGGGCCAGCCCGTCCTGAGCCGCCCACCTCACAGGAGAAGCATCCGTTTACTTACTCACACCGAATGCATAGTCCAGCTCAGGAAAGAGCTTGGAAGAATTCTCTTCCTCTGTGGTTTTTGTCATTAGTGGAAATACTGAGTTTATAAAAGAGTTTCTTTAGCAATGAAATTCCTGAGCAGCCGCCTCATCCGTTTGCTGCTACTGTTGATGCGGGGGTGGGGGGTGGGGGGTGGGCTATGAGGCGCTTATGAAAGATAGGTCTGGTGAGTGACTTCCGAAACAACAGCCACTGAAGACCCCATGGAGCACAGTTCTACTCTGACCCACCTGCAGGCGCTGTGAGTCACATTTGACTTGGCAGCCACTGGTTTTACTGGTTTTCTTCATGTGCACCAGTAGCTGGGACATTGAGTCTTTCTCTCGCTGTCTCATTCAGTGAAGGGAGTGAGATGACTTGGAGTTCAGAGGGGGTTCCTAGGTGTGTATGGGTGCGGTGGAGGCTGCTTAGGACCCTTGAGCAGTTCCTCTGAGAGAAGACAGTGTGGGGTGCATGGATTGGGCCCCTTTTCCTGGGGATCCGGTGACACGTGCTAGGAGTGTGGTGCCCTGTAGTGTGGCTGCCCTTGTCCTCACTTCCGCTGGGTGGGTAGAATGCCTAGTCATTGTGGGCACTTTATTGCTCACAGCTGAGGCGTGGAGTGCCCCCGGTCACACTCTCTGGGTGTGCAGTTTTGAGGGTCTTTGCTTTTCTTCACAACAGGGAACACCCAAGCTGCTGAGGACCAATGACTGCGACTTTGTGTTTGAGTGGGAGACCCCGCTAGTGTGTCCTGATGACGTGTTGACGGAGGGCTGCTCGCTGACGGACGAGCAACTCTACTACAGCTTCAACCTGTCCCGTCTGTCCACAAGCACCTTTAAGGTAGCCGGGGCATTGGCGGTCCTCACTGTCATCCGGGTGTGCGTGGGCATGGGTGTTGGGTGTGTGGGGTGGCTGCTCACAGCTAGCCCTCCTGGTGAGCCTCACAGCTCAGGGCACTTCCATGCGGGGTTTTATGAGCATGGAGTGACCACTCAGGGGGGCGGCAGTCCCTTTGCTTGAGGATGGAGAACAGGCAAGGAAGCACGGGGACCCAGGAGACCCTCACCCAGTGAGGTGGACCCGGTGGGCTCCAGGTGCTCCCTCCCCGACACATGGGATCGTTGAGGACTCTTGGCCTTTCCCAGTGATACACCCTCTGTGGACCCAGTTCCGGCTGTAAGAAGCGCCGCCTCCTTTCTCCAGCCTTTGCTTTTAGACACAGAGGCAGGCATCATGGCCGCCCGGGATGTCATGCACGGAGGTTAGACAGTCCCTCTCAGTGCCCAGACTGGCGAGTCCAGAGAACACGGCGTGTCTGCGGAGTGTGTGCTGTGCTCATGAATCGTGACCAGCTTGGGTCACCTGTGGTTGGGGCATCCGAGGCCCCAGGGCCCGTGATTAGATGTTTCCTGGTCATCCCATGTGTGACCATGCCACATGCCCAGCATCCCTGTAAGCAGCATGCAGAGGGGTGGGCATTGAGTTTGTGCTCGGATGCTGGCTCTCTGGTGTCTGTAAGGGAGGCCCCTGCCCATCTCCAGTCCTTCCTGATGGCTGGGTAACAGTGGACAGGTCTGGGCCTGAGGAACCAGGTGGGTGCTATGGCATTTGACTCAGCCAGGCACAGGTGGACAAGGCCCGAGGCCTCCTGCTGCCTTAGTGCTCCCTATGCTGTGCTCACTGGGTGGGGCTAGGGGGCGTACTGGGCCTGGACGTAGTGGTGGGTTCTACAGAGGCTGGCCTGGGAAGGACTGGGGACCAGCATACAGACAGTAGCCTTGGCCACATGCACGCCTCCCACCTTGGGATTTCTAGCCTTGACGTCGTGTCTGTCTGTCTGTCTAGGTGACTCAAGACTCCCACACTTACAGCGTAGGTGTGTGCACCGCGGCTGCAGGCCTGGACCAGGGTGGCTGCAAGGACGGAGGTGTCTGCCTACTCTCCAGCAGTAAGGGAGCCTCGTTCGGGCGGCTGGCCTCCATGCGGCTGGACTACAGGCACCAGGACGAGGCTGTCATCCTGAGCTACGTCAATGGTGACATCTGCCCTCCAGGCAAGGCTTTGTAGCGAGTGTCAGCCTGAAATGACAGGAGAAACCCTGGGACCAAAGCTCCAACCCTGTGTGGGCTGGACCCTGTGAGGAGGGCTGTCCCCATGAAGAGGGCTGGACCCTGTGAGGAGGACTGTCCCCGTGAGGAGAACTGACCCCGTGAGGAGGTCTGTCCCCGTGAGGAGGACTGGACCCTGTGAGGAGGACTGTCCCCGTGAGGAGGACTGACCCCGTGAGGAGGACTGCCCCTGTGAGGAGTACTGTCCCCTTGAGGAGGACTGGACCTAGGCCTTGACTGTGAAGCCCTGAATGGAAGTGCTCTCAGACCCTGAGTGGGCTGGGCTGCCTCCTCAGGGTCCTTGTGACACGTTCTTAGTCATGTTACTGCTTGTGTCACTCAGATCTTCTCTTCCCTTCCAGAAACGGAAAATGGCGACCCTTGCGTCTTCCCCTTCATATTCAACGGGAAGAGCTACGAGGAGTGTGCTGTGGAGGTGAGGCCAAGGGCCTGGTGCGCCACCACCGAAAACTACGACCGTGACCATGAGTGGGGCTTCTGCAGGCACTGTGAGTAGGGAAGTGGGACATCCAGGGCATGGCTCTGGCAACCCCAAGCTGCACGAGTCCTTGTAAAGCTCCAGATGCTGTCACGTTAACACATTAACCGATTGTACTTGGTCGTCAGGGTTGTCTTCCAACCAAACAGCATTTCTAATTGCTCCATGAGACTTGACGTGTCAGGTTAGAGGCAGCCATGGTCAAAGTAGGTCAGGGCATGGGTGCTAGTGCCCACGTCCCTGTGAGGGCTTGTCACAGGTGACCTACACACACGCCTCTGTAAAATGGCGGCCTCTCATGGGCCTTCAGAGTGACCAGTGGATGTTCTAAGACCCTTGAGTCCGTCCACTGGCTTTCTGCTATGTGGCAAGCACTGGGCAGACTGGACACCTAATGGGGCACCAGGCTTGCTCCTGCGGTGCTAGACGTGGTATCTCAAAAGAATCCTGTTTATGTTTGGGCCACTAGTGGACGTGAGTTCTCAAGGGAAATGAGACGAGACAAGTGCTTACTGAAGTCATTCTTACTAAGACTTCACAGCAAGATGGGTTACACCGAGGAACTCTAGGCACAGATGTACGCGGACCTGTGGGAGGGCACTCACTGCTTTTTCATAATTGCAGGCATTTTATTGTTACTGATTTTATTTTTATTCTCATTAGCAAATATCATTGGTTATCTGTATATGAGGGACTGTGGTATAATGTAGGGTTGTCTAGGACAGGAAGAGATTCTGAGCTCTCTTGGGCTATTCAGAGTTAAGAATTCATGAATGACAGGAAGCGTGGAGAGAGAGGTCCAGGGCAACAGATGTGGCTATGGGAAGGGGCTTCAAAACGTTTGTGGGAAAATGTCATATATGGAAGGGTAGATAGGGTGACAAAGGACCACGTGAATCACAGAGTTGGGGCTGCTCAGAAAGGAAAGGAATTTGAAGACCAGCATTAGAACCTTCATCCATTGCTGGTGGCAGTGTGACGTGGTGGTTCTTCAGAAAGTTAAACAAAGATGGGCATGTGTCAGCTCCTAGCCATAGGCCTCAGAGACTTGAGAGCCTGGGCTTAAACAGACACTTATACTTCATGTTCATGGAATAGCCAAAAGGTGGAAACCATGCAAGCATCCACCACAGATGAATGGATGCATAAAATGTGACATGTATATACCATGGAATTGTACTCAACCATAAAGAGAGGTAGAGCCTGGGTAAATGGGACAACATGGGTGAATCTTGGAAGCATCATGCTGAGTAAAATAAGTCACACAAAAGGACGACTCCTGTATGATCCCCTCCTATATGAAGTCTTCAGGATAGGAAATGTAGAGAGAGAAGAGTTACGAGGGCTTGGGAGGTACTGAGCTTCTGTTTGGGACGATAAATCTTTCTGTGAGAATGGGGAGTGGTGATGGTTTCAGGGTGTTGTAAATGTGATTAAGGAATTAAACAAAATGTTTTGTGATACCATATCTTAGTAATAAAATTAACAAAAATTAATAAAGTTAATAAATGATTCAAGAAAGCCAAGCTGTGGGCCTCAGACCAGGTTCCGAATGTGTCTGTGTTGCCCTCTCCCAAACCAGCCAACAGCCACCGGACGTCCGCCATCATATTCAAGTGTGACGAAGATGCCGACATTGGGTGGCCCCAAGTTTTCAGTGAGGTTCGTGGGTGTGAGGTGACTTTTGAGTGGAAAACAAACGTCGTCTGCCCCCCAAAGAAGATGGAGTGCAAATTCATCCAGAAGCACAAAACCTATGACCTGCGGCTGCTCTCGTCTCTCACGGGGTCCTGGTTCTTTGTCCATGATGGCGCCTCGTGAGTACCACTCCCCCTTCACCTGCCATGTCTGTTCGTTTTACCTCAGAGTCAGAAGGCGGGAGGTATTACCCCCTAAATCCGAGGTTATGTGCTTTCAGTGGGGACTGGGTTCCTGGGAGCCACCCAGAAGGACCAAGCATGGGGAAGTGGTGAGGGTGGGTTCTGGTGAACAGAAATGGAGCCTTCAGAGCCCACAGAAGCCAGAGTTCAGCTGTTGGCCCAATGGAGTGGAAGTCTAGAGGAGAGTTGGGTCCAGGTGTAGGTGCTGCCTGGTAAGTCCTCGCTGCAGAGGAGCTTGGAATGCGTACGTGACTTGCTGAAGGGGAATCCCTTACCAGAGTTTCAACCACTGCCTGCCTCAGCTCCACTGCCCTTCCTTCTGCTGAAGCCCACTGCATCAGGATCACCTTTAGTCCCTGTGATTCAGAGGCTGTGGACCACCAGTAGCTACCACACTGCTATTTCTGTCTGGCAGTCACAGCAAGGTCTCTGCCCACCGTCCACTAGAATAGACTTAGCCTACCTTCCTCCTCTCTACCCCTTGGTGTTGTCTTGTAGGTACTACATCAACTTGTGTCAGAAAATAAACAAAGGACCCTCAGGCTGTTCCGACAGAGCCAGCGTGTGCAGAAAGACTGCATCCGGTCAGGTCCAGGTTCTGGGTCTGATCCACACACAGAAGCTGGACGTTGTAGGTAAGTCCCTGGGGCCATCATGACTGGTGGCTGGGCAGCTTAGGCTGGGGGTGAACATTTCCAGTGTCTCCCCCGTGAGTATTTCTCCTGGAATATTTAAAGAAGTGCTACTTTCTGTTCGGTCAGAACCGACTCCACAACAACAACAACAACTTTCTCATGTTTGAGGCCCCCGTCTGTGTATCTGGGGGGTTCAGTGATCTTCGGGAGAATCTACATCTCAGGGGGGAAGTTGCCTTGTTCACTATGCTTCAGAAGCGAATTGGGTCCTTATATGTTGATTGAGGAAAGTCAGACCATTTGGTAGCACTTGATCAAAGTAGCTCAAGAGTACATATTTGAGTGCTTTCACAATTTGGGGGAAAATGCTACTGTTTTTATCTAATAGTTTGACTGGAAAACTCCTGTTGCAGTTGGCTGTTGAGTAACAGGGAAGGATATCAGGCTTGGTAAGGTTGAGAGAGGATCAGTGGGAAAGGGGAAGACACTCAACAACACGGGTTGACCCAGAAGCAGCAACAGTGGGCTCAGCCATGACACTTGGGATTTTTTGCACAGGACTGGGCAATGGTTCGTGCATGGGGTCACTGAGTTGAAGCTGACTCAGTGGCACCTCACAACAGTGGCTCTGTCAGTTAAGGATGACTGGGATGCAGTCGAGGGGTCAGTCAAGAAAGAATTCACCTTTTCCTGTTAGGGTTAGAGAGGAATACCTGAGTCCCCCTTTCTAACTCATAGCATAGCTTTAGCTAACTAAGAAATGAAGAATGACTTCTCGGGAAACCATTGTTAGTCTCAGAAGCATCGAGCCCAGAGTCTACTCGGTGACCCGAGGGTACAGAGATACTACGAGGGAGGGACCAGCCTGGTCCCGCAGTCTGAGATTCATCTTCCCTTTGGAGAGTCTGACACCTCAAGAAGGGGGAAAGGTGGCTCTGTTCTCTTCTAATCTCAGTTACTTGGGGACAGTGGACCAGTCTTCCTCTCAGTATCCCATTGTGGTTCTTAGCTGCCATCATGTTGGACCCTGGCTTGTGGCGACTCGATGTATAACAGAGTAGAGTGGCCCACTACGGTTTTCTTGGCTGGATGCACTATGGAAGCAGGTCACCAGCTCTGTTCTTTTGTGGTGCCATGGGGTGGGTTTGATCCTCCAACCTTTCAGTTGATAGTTGAATGACAGTTCGTCACCCACGGACTCTCAGTTTCCTGAGGCCAACTGGAAAAGCAGACTGTTTAAAGCTTTACAAAAAGTCTAGAACCAAAGTAACAAGCGAGAAGTCTGACTGATTTTTTGAGGTTTGGCATTGAGGCCATTTAGAATGCACTAGAAGTAACACCTGTCCATCTTTTTGTGTGTTTCAGATGACAAAGTGGTTGTCACCTACTCGAAAGGACATCAGTGTGGTGACATGAACAAGACTGCATCCACGGTGATTGAGTTGACATGCGCGAAGACGGCAGGCAGGCCGGCGCTCGACAGGTGAGGAGGTTGTGGCGTCAGAGGGTGATGGGACATGAGAACGTGACATGGGGAAGGTGGCAGAACCTCTCCTGTGGTTCCTACTTTACGGCTGGACTGTGTGTGCAGGGCGAGGATGAGGGTCTTGTAGCGACAGTGCTGCCCCATATGAGGGAGATCCCACAACCCTGTCGTGTGGGCTGCAGACCTCCACAATAAAGTGAGTAGAGCAATATAGTGATGCAGTGTGACGCTTGGTCCACCAGTACGTGTGAAGGTTACGTCTATACTGTACTGTCGTCGCTTCTAAGGAACCCTGGTGGTGCTGTTGTGGGGTTAGTACAGCGCTGTTAGCCATAGGTCACTGCTTCAAAACCACCAGCCACTCCTTGGGAGAAAGATGAAACTGTCATCCTGTCCAGGTGGCTCTGTTCTCCTCTAATCTCAGTTACTTGGGGAGAGTGGACCAGTCTTCCCCTCAGTGTCCCATTGTGGTTCTTAGCTGCCAGGGTCCCACATTGTTGTTGTTGTGAAGTGCTGTCGAGTTGGTTCCGACCCATAGCTACCCTGTATAGGGTTTCCAAGCAACAGCTGGTGAGCTTGAACCACTGACCTTGCAGTTCAAACGGCTTTACAGATTTCCAGCCTCTGAAACACTCTGCAGGATTGCTGTGAGTCGGAATCGACTTGATGGCGGTGGGTTTGGTTGTCTATTAAATGAGCCCTGGTAGCACGAAATTACTAATCTACTAAATAAAGGTTGGCAGTTCAAATCCACAGGCAGCTCTGTGGGAAAACATACGGCAGTCTGCTCCTGTAAAAATGTACCATCGGCTTTGTAGTTGGAATTGAGTCTTTGTTGTCTATGAAGTTGTGCAATGGCATTGTGAAAACATTTGACATAACATGAGAAAGACCAAACTCTGAGTCAGAGACACGAAGTGAGCACACAGTTTTGGAAAAACAGTGCCAGTATACCAGTATACTTGCTTCTCACAGGGTTGCCACAAACCACAAGCCTTTCATTAAAAACAACACCGAACAGGATCTGCAAAATGCCATAAAGCAAAGCCCAAGCAACTGGGGTGCCTGTAACCTAAAGCAACTCCCTGAACCTCACCTGCCTTAAGAAAACACAGTCCTGACCAAGGTTGAGCACTTTTTGAACTGGCTGGGCTGTCCTAGCTGGCCTCTAGAGGCCTGGTACAGCTACAGGAAACCCAAAGGCAGCGCGAGTACAACCATCCAAGCATGCTACGTGGGCCCCGGAGCTAGTGGGGCAGCCACCCCTGCTCTTGGATTGTCTATCGGGATTCTAGGTGCTACAGCACCTTCTGCCAGCAGAGGGAGTGTGTGAGCTGATGTTTGCGAGCAAGTCACAGGGCTCTGAAAAGGGAGATGGCCAAAGAAATGACCAAAAAATCCAGAAATAGTCCATGGATTTCATCTGTTGCCAAGCCCGGATAACCTGTAAACCAAAATGTCAAAACTCTTTAAGAGCAGATCCCAGCCTTTAGTATTTCTCAGTATCAAAAGATGTCCGTTAAACCTGAATCCATGTGATTGATATGGTGAATGGGTTAAGAAAAGACGGGTTCGGAGCCCAGAGCTGGGGCTGAGCTGGCTCGGTGGTAGAGTCCCGCCCCCACCCAAGCACACCACAAGTCCCCCTGCCACGCATCTGTCCATGGAGGCTTGTGTGCTGCTAGCATGTTGCACAGGATTTAGCGGTGCTTCCAGACTCAAACAGGAAGGTATGCCTGGGGGATCTACTTTAGAAAATCAGCTAATGGTCTGATCTATGTTCTGATCACATTGTGAGTAGGGTTACCGAGTACAGCTAACAACCAGAAGTTTAGAGTTGCCTTCTGCATCCTGTGCGCTGGGCAGCAGTTTTCCTGTTGGGGCATGGGCTCTTGGGAGGCTTTACTGCATTTTCACAGAAACCAAATGTCCTTCACTTGGGCCTGGCACTTAGCTGTGGGTGTGCCTCGGCGGGGTTGTGGGCTTTGGGCTGGTACCTGGTAACCATGGGGCCATATCTGCTGCCTTCCAGATTTGACATCGACAGCTGCACCTACTACTTCCGCTGGGACAGCCGGGCTGCTTGTGCAGTGAAGCCCCAGGAGGTAGAGATGGTGAATGGGACCATCATCAATCCCGTAAACGGCCAGAGCGTCAGCCTGGGAGACATCTATTTTAAGTAAGCAAGATATTTCTGTTCTGTGCCCGGGAGTGGATTGTTCACTGGCGGGACTGCTGCAGGATGAGTGGTTTGTGTGTTTGAGCTGTTGCTAGGCGTGTCGCCGTATTGTGCTTCAATGGAGAGAAAACACTACTGAACAGTTAAGTTTTCACACCAAAGATGGTGAATTCTCACGAGTGTAAAAATAGAGTTCCCCTTCTCCTCCCTCCTTATAATAAGCCCAGGGTTTGAGACAAGTCTGAGAGATGTGTTTGAGCAGGAACTTCCTGGGCAAACCATTTAGTGAAGGGTGAACTTTCAGCAGCGTTGCTGGGGCAGCTGGGGTGGACAGTCTTCCAGCCCTCTGCATGCCAGGCAGAGGGAGGCAGTGTGGTGCTGGCCACAGGCATTGGAGGAAGGCATTAGTGCAAAGAGAGCAAAAGTAGGGTCTGGTAGGGACTCAGCTGGGGCAGGAAGCCTTTGTAGACTTAGGAGTCAGAAACCACCCTGTGGTTCTACTAGGCCTTGGGGTTTATGTCAAAAGGATGTTCTGGAAGGATAGACTACCAGATGACCAGACTTACATGTTTGCCTCTGTCTCCCCAGGCTCTTCAGTGCTTCTGGGGACATAAGAACCAATGGGGACAAGTACCTGTATGAAATCCAGCTATCTTCCATCACCAGCTCCACGCATCCCTCATGCTCTGGGGCCAACATCTGCCAGCTCAAAGCCAATGACCAGCACTTTAGTAGGAAAGTGGGGACCTCTGATAAAACCAAGTACTACGTTCAAGGTAATGGTCATCTATCAGTGTGCCCACTTAACGTCCTCAAGGTAATGGTCCCCTATCAGTGTGCCCACTTAACGTCCTCAAGCACGAGCTTGAAAGTGGTCGTGAGCAAACTCAAACACAATGTAAAACGCAACTCCTGTCTTGATGTGCAGTCATGAGAACGAGCTGCGCAGTACGTGGGAGACCTAGACATTTCACGGTGGGTAAATTAGACCTCAGTTACACAAGCAAGCTCACAGCAAACCCACCAACCCTGGCAGACCACTGAGTCTCCTGCAGGCTCGGGGGAGGAAGCATATTCAGAATGACTGCTGATTTCGTTTTAGACATGACACTGAATTGATTTTGAACCTTAATACTATAAAAGAGGGCCAGATTGTCTATTTGTCAAAGGATAGGAGGATAAGATGGAGAGATACTGGCATTTGCATAAGAAACGGGTGTGGAAGGTCTGAGTGACTTTGATGGAAGCATCGCCTTCCTTTGTTCCTTACTTAACTTAGAGGGATATGGCCACAGGCCGCTGGTCCTAGTCTCCCAGCGCTGCAGTGACAAAAATCCCAGGACGAGTGGTTTTAGAGAAACAAGGACTGGTCTTCTCACAGTTCTGCAGGCTGACGGTTGGAATCAGGGTCTCAGCCCAGTCGTTCCTTCTGTGTGTCGACCCCCTAGTGTTGTCATTGTCTGTTCTGCTCTTTTATAACTGCCATCCACCCCCGACTCTGCCATGACTTCATTACGTGTCAGAAGAAGACCCCCCATTCCCTAAGAGGTCACAGTCATAGGTAGCCGCTTAGAACTTCAACATACCTTTCAGAGGCCGTAATTCAATCCATCATATAGCTCATTTTATACTTTTTGTAATTCGACGTTTGAACCATGTGACTGTATTAGCTTTTGAAATAGTTTGGTGGTGGTTATATGCTGTCGAGTCGGTTCTGACTCATAGCGACCCTGTTTCTGAGGCTATAAATCTTTACGGGAGCAGAAAGCCTCATCTTTCTCCCACGGAACAGCTGGTAGTTTCAAACTGCTGACCTTAAGGTTGAAATAACTTAATGTGTGTGAAAACAACAGCCTACGCTGAGTAAAAGGGTTCTGAATGGTTCCCCCCAAAGAGGAAAAGGCTGCTCCCCAAATGTGGGTAGCCTTGACTAAGCAGAGGGAAGTGGGGGCTGGTAGACATCTGTCACTAACAAACTCCATGTCCTTCAAAACCCCCATCAGCATCGCCACCTCTGGAAGGCTGCTATGTCCCCGTGGGGTGCCGCGTGTGTCTGTCAGGTGTCCACTCCAGCCTACTGGAGCGGTGACCTACCTGTAGCTCACACACCATGATCAACAGACCGACTAGCACCCCAGCACCCAGTGTGTGTGGATTCGCAGGCACTCGCTTCCCTCTTAGGCCTTTCACTTTCCTCCTTTTCACTAGCATCAGGAAGTAGCCTTTGCTCTGAGGGCCCTTTTGACATTTCCTGATAAAGTTGCAGTTCTAAATCCCTAGTTGTTGTCATTTGAGAGGGAAGTGCAGGACAGGACAGAGCAGAGGTAAGAGCCCTCTTGGCTCTTACCTTCTCCCCGACCCACTCCCCTGTGTACTTCCCGACTCCTCCCTGACCTGCTCCCTGATATATTTCCTGACTCCTCCCTGACATGCTTCCCCTTGGTACTTCCTCCCCCATCTGTAGAACATGCGTGCATTCCTACTTCAGCTGATCACAAGCCTTCCTGAGCCACTCCTGCACCCTGTGCCTTGGGGCTGCCCTCACACGCAGTGGACAGACCTAGCCCTAGCTCTGTGTATTCCCAGTGCTCCCTAGGGGCTGACTGTTGGGTGTTCAGTCCACTCTCTTTAGAGAAATGCCACTTCTGACCCAATTGCAAAGACTTGCTGGAAGCTGTTATACTCACGGGTACAGATGAAAGTCAGCCTAGGACAAGAAGCACATAGGACAGAGTGTGGGAGGGACTGGACCTGGGTCTTCCTTGTCCTCTCCCCTAGAGGCTGGGCACATTACACTGTGGCATTGATGTGTGTCCACTGGGAATTCCTGAGTTGGTGTCTTTATTAGGACTCATTACATTGGCATGAGTGAGTGATCGCCCACATGGTAGATCTCAGTCTCCAGGACAACTGATACCTCGTGACCTAAAGCCCCTAGTTGCCATCACATGGGTGGTTGTTCCGGTGTGGCCAGCACCCACCCTCAATCAAATGTCTTAGCACAAGGCTGGATGGATTCTTTCCAGCACACTGACCAAGGCGTGCATGCGTGAGGGCGTTTTATTTTATGGGACAAAAAAGCTGATTTTTAATCTTGGTGTGGCATTGTGAGATAATGCACTAGACTGAAAGGTCTGTTTGAGCCACAAGGTCGGTGGTTCAAATTCACTAGCCACTCCTTGGAACCCTATACAGGGTCGCTATGAGTCAGAACTGACTCAACAGCACTTAACAACTTCTTATATTTTCCAAATGTTCCATAAAGCATCTTGTTAGGTTTTCATATTTAGAAGAAAAAAAAATTACTTTTTACAGAAAAAAGACAATATTTGCTCTCTAGTCACTCATAAGGAGCTCTGGTAGCATAGTGGTTACGAATCGGGCTGCTAACCTCAAGGTCGGCAGTTTGAAACTACCAGCGGTTCCACAAGAGAAAGATCAGGCTTTCTGCTCCCGTAAAGATTTGCAGCCTCGGAAACCCTGTACAGGGTCACTATGAGTCGGAACCGAGCCCATGATACTTAACAACAAGAGTCACTCATGGGTGTGGTGAAATTTCTCTGTGGGTTTAGCAGCAGGTTATTTGAAAACATTTTCACAAAGCCATTTAAAAATCCCTTCAAGTGGCCTTTTTTTAAGGTCTGAGAGGGAAATGCTTATGGGATGGGACATGGCAGAGTCTTCACAGACGTGGAGAGAAACTTGGGGCCTGTCTTGACAAGTTGATGGAATGGTGTATACGGTTGTAGGTGCTTGCTTTTCTTGTTCAGAATTAAAAAACTAAAGAAAACACCTTATTGTGGCAAATATATAGGTAACGAAACACTAGCCATTTCAGCATTCCTCACATGTGGAATCAGTGACGTTTATAATATGCGTCATGTTTAGCCTTCACCATTGTCTGGCACCTTCTTTTTCTGACAGATGGTGACCTCGATGTCGTGTTTACTTCATCCTCGAAGTGTGGCAAAGACAAGACGAAGTCCGTCTCATCCACCATCTTCTTCCATTGTGATCCTTCAGTGGAAGAAGGGATCCCAGAATTCAGCCATGAGACTGCTGACTGCCAGTACCTTTTCTCCTGGTACACCTCGGCCGTGTGCCCGCTCGGGTGAGTGTGGCTGGGAGCCCTCGGCAGTGTGTGATGGCTGATGATTGTCTTCCTGTGGGAATAGTCACGTGTGTACAGAACCAGTGAAACCCCACAGCCAGCGGCCTGCTGTGCTTGCTCCACGCCTGTGTCCACGCCTGCGACCCCATCCCCGCACCCCCCAGGAGGACTGCTGGTTTTCCTCTGTGCTTCCGCAGGGCCTGTGTGGACTCAGCCAGGCACCCCGACACTTCTTCCTGCCACTCCCCACACAGCCCTGTCAGCTCCACATTTCTCTGTGTTCTAGCACAAGCTACGGCCCTTCTTTCTTAGGGCTTTGCACAGTGACAGCCCTACAGTGGGGAAGAACGCGACTTGTATTAAAGAGCCAAGGAAACCTGGTGGCGCAGTGGCTAAGCGCTCAAACCCACCAGCTGCTCTGCAGGAGAAAGCTGTGTCCTTCTGTAGCCGTACCTCTGGGGTAGTTCTGCTCTGCCCTGCCAGGTCACTCTGAGTGGGAATCCACTCAACAGTAACAGGTGTTATTAAAGAGCCACAGGGCACCAGAAATGTCACAAAATGAAAACTAGAACTACTATCAGTTGATAGCAATTACTGGCATGTGACAAAAAATTCTAATGCCTAGGGAGTCATTGTGTGAAGGCCCACTGTTTAAAGGATTGGACATCTGGAACTTTTTATTTAATCCACTAGCCATTGATCAGGCACATTCCATGAGCCCAGTGTGGTACTGCAGCAGAGCCCTTCAGACCCGGGAAATGTGGTGGTCACATCCCAAGATGAGGTGTCAGGGGGGGAGCGGCTATCACCTGGACCTGCCCACTGTTTCTTCCCAGGAGGAATTCCGAGAGGAGAAGGAGCTTAGCTCTGGGAGCTGTGTGGCTGTCTTGTTTCTCAGAGCTCCTGTTTCCACAAGAAGCGCTTTGCCCTCCCTTTGAGCCTCCCCCCAGTGAGGCACACGGGGCTGGTGGAGGCTGCTTCGTGGCAGCTAATCTTCTTCCATGTTTCATATTGAAAAAAGCTGGGGGCCATGTCTTCTCGGGTGTCCGGTGCTTCTTGTCTTCATCACAAAAGGTTTCTCTTTTCCCTGCCAAGTGGCTGTAACTTGTTCGGATCCGGAGCCTGGTAGGTGCTTATAGAAGTCAAAGCTGTTCTGTCAGGTGAGCGTTCTCAGCGTTAACTTGAGGCGTCCTGGGTGGCACACATGGTTAAGTGCTCAAATACTAGCTGAAAAGGTTGGCAGTTTGAACCCTCCCAGAGGCACCTCGGAAGACAGCCCTTGGCCATCTGCTTCCGAAAGGTCACAGCCTTGAGAACCCTCTGGAGCAGTTCGAGTCTGCACACCTGGGGTCACCATGGGTTGGAATAGACCCAATGGCATCGACAACATGGCTGACTTCAGATGAGCGACCCAGACCGTACCTGCCTGGTGGGGGACGTGACCCCCTTCCCCCGACTTTCTTCCAGGGTGGGCTTCGATGGCGAGAGCACTGGAGAGGACACCCCAGAGCGCCAGGGGCTCTCGGGGCGGAGCCAGGCCATTGGGGCCATTCTCAGCCTGCTGTTGGTGGCCCTGACCGGCTGTCTGCTGACCCTACTGCTTTACAAGAAGGAACAGAGGTAAGCAGAGGCAGCTGAGCGAAGCGGGCTGGGGTTGCAGCTAAGCAAGGGGTCTAGAATGAATCCCGGGCCTGCTTCAGCAGAAGTCTTGGTCAGACGCCCTCTATGGCTCCTGCCTTGTGCATTGTCTGCCCTTGAATAACCATGCTCTCCTCTTTTATAGGGAGACGGTGATGAATAAGCTCACCAACTGCTGTAGAAGAAGTTCAAATGTGTCCTACAAATACTCAAAGGTACGTTTCCGTTGAAGGTCCTCTGGTGTTAATAAGAACAGTCAAAACACCATTACGGCCCAGTGGAAACGGACTCCTCTGGCCCTAGCACAGTTTCCATTTTCCCTTCACATTTTCTTCCTTGTGGTTGAAACTGGTTTACTTTGTTGTTGTTGTTGTTAAGTGCCATCGAGTCGGTTCCGACCCATAGCGACCCTGTACAGGGTTTCCGAGGGTGTAAATCCTTACGGGAGTAGAAAGCCTCATCTTTCTCCCGCGGAGCGGCTGGTAGTTTCGAACCGCTGACCTTAAGGTTCGCAGCCCGATTTGTAACCACTACGCTACCAGCTGGTTTACTTGTTGTTGTTGTTGTTGTTAAGTGCCATCGAGTCGGTTCCGACCCATAGCGACCCTGTACAGGGTTTCCGAGGGTGTAAATCCTTACGGGAGTAGAAAGCCTCATCTTTCTCCCGCGGAGCGGCTGGTAGTTTCGAACCGCTGACCTTAAGGTTCGCAGCCCGATTCGTAACCACTACGCTACCAGAGCTCCTTCTAGACAAGTTTACTTAGCGGACTGAATTTGTAGTTGCCTCCACTTCTTTGGCTGTTCTGAAAAAACAAAAACAAAAACAGTGAACACTTTTGTACATCTAGCACTTGGATTATTTCCTTTAGGCCAGTCTCCCGAAAGGAGGCATTTGTTTGGGTTAAAGGACACAGATAGTCTGTGGATCTTGGTGAAATTGCTTTAGAAAAGGCTTAACTCAGTTAGACATTCTGTCTTGTGTCCTTTCTGCGGCTTCTCTTACATACCATATCCCCTGCCTCATCCCACATGGACACTTTGAACTGATGAGGCCTTGGAGAGTCACTTCTTTTCCTTGTCGCCTGCCTGCTTGTCAGCCTGGGCAGTTTTGAGTTGTCATAGTCAGTGTAGTCAGTGTTTTCTAGAGAAACAGCAGTAGCCCTCCCACACAGTGGGAGAGGTGTGGATTACACTGCAGAAGGTGCCATCACATTACATTCAACTGCATTGCGGAACAGCAGCTAGACTAGTGTTTGGTCAAACCACTGGGAACCATAGTCTAGTCGAGCGATACAGTACGTTAGCCATCCCGAGAATGCCCACTTGTATCCTTCCTGAACGTGTTCAGTCTCAGAGGAGCAGCGGGTGTGGGTTGGGAAACCCTGGGAGCTGGAGATGGTATGACCATGGTGGGGGGCGGGGGGAGGGGATGGTTCAGCCTCAGGGCAGTCTGTAGAAGGAGGGTTGCTGGTCTCTTGAGCTCACGTGGGCTCTGTGTTGTCCCCGCAGGTCAACAAGGAGGAAGAGGCCGATGAGAACGAAACCGAGTGGCTCATGGAGGAGATCCAGGTACCAGCCCCCAGACCCGGGAAGGAGGGGCAGGAGAATGGCCACATCACCGCCAAGTCGGTGACGGCCGAGGCCCTCAAGTCCCTGCGCGGTGACGACCAGGACAGTGAGGACGAGGTGCTGGCTATCCCAGACGTGAAGGTGCATTCTGCCCGCAGCCCTGGGGCAAACAGCTCTCGCCAGACAAGAAGCCCCCCGAGGAAGGCGGGTCGGGTCCGGCTCGACGACCGGATGGGGCTGATCAGAAGCGAGAAGGCCAGGAAAGGGCGGTGCAGACCCGGCCAGCAGAAGCCGGGGATCCCCAGCCGCCCGGCGAGCTTCCACGACGACAGCGATGAAGACCTCCTCCACGTCTGACCCTGGTGCCTACGAGAGAAGATTCATCGGTGGCACGGCCAAGTACCTCCAACCAAATAAGACTTTACCGCCATGACGCTTCTATCATTTTTGCCTTTAACAAAAACGATTTCAAAAAGGGAAGAGTTTTTGTGATGGGGAGAGGGTCACTAGGCCCGACACCACTCACACACGGGTGCTCACGGTCATTAAACACAGCTTTTAACAGATTGGCTGGGGGCGGGGGTGGTCCCTCGGTCCCGGGGTTCTGCCCCAGCCATTGCATCTCATAACAGAGGGCTGTTTTGACAGGAAACTCTTGCTGCTTTAGTCCTTATTGGGCATTTGACCATCTAGTTGAGCATTTTCATTCTCTCCTCCTATTTATTCACTTTGACAATTACTCAGGTTTGCAAAAAAGGAAAAGGAATAAAACAAAACAAAGCAAAACATGAAAGAAACCGATAACCAAGCAGCAGCAGCAGTCTTGCTGCGTGCCCGGGGGTCACCCCCGGGGTCACCCATAAGAAGGAGGGAAAACTTTTGGTGCCCGAGGAAAGTGAGCACAGAGTTTGTGAGCTGGCCGATAATTTCGCCCCTCAGTTAGAATACCCACTCTGTCTCTTTACTGCTTTCTGTTCTGAAGGGAACACACATGCACACGCGTGTGCACACAGACCCCGAGTGCCCGGGCTCTGGCTGTTCACCCCTCGTCTGCCTTTCATCCTGAACAGCTGCCGCTTTTTGTAGGACACCCTTCATCCGCAGTGGACAGAGCACATTTGTCAGTATTTCTTCCCACAGCCCACCCAAAGACAGATTTGTGTGCAGGAGTGGAGCTGAGATGGCCAAGAAGGTAACTTCTTTTAGATTTGGGGGTTTCAGTCTCATGTATTCAGGTTCTCATGGTACCACCTTTACTGTACTTATTTTTTTAAAGAAAAAAAAAAAAAAAAAGTGTTGATCAACTGTTTGACCTATATCGAAGCCTTAATTTGCACAGAGTGCGACTTAGGGAAATGCCATGGCAGACAGTGGGCCGGAACCTCGTCCCTATATAACCCTGGTTTTGTATTTAGAGGGAGACTGAGGTAGGACCCACGGTGCCAGGACAGGTGGACAGGTAGCTCTGGTGCCCTGCCCCTGCTGGCTGCTGGCTCCTTTATTGATGTTTAATGGGAGATTCCTTGGTAATGAATCTCATATTTAGAGTTGTATATAAACTCATGCTATTCATAGACTTAGAGGCAAATCACTCTCCAGAATGCCCTGGTTTGTACCCGGTGGTGTGGCTGGTTTATTTGATTTCAACATGAGTGTATTTTTAAAATTTGATTTCTTTTCTCATTTTTTTTTCTTCTCAATCAATTTTACTGTAATATAAGGTATTCAACAATTTCAATAAAAAATAAATTATTAATTAGGTGTTACTTTTTTTCCCCCCACCCCCTTGATGATGAAACGTGACTGAGCGTATTATCTGTCCACCTGTCTTTCAGTTTTTCTTTCTGTTTGTTGTTGTGACGTGTCATCGAATCAATTTCGATTCATAATGATCTGTACAGGGTTTCCGAGGAGCAGCAGGTGGGTTTGAACCGCCGACCTTGTGGTTCGCAGGCCAGTGCTTATCCTATAGCAGCATACACATTTAGCAAAAATATGTTTCTTTGAATTTGGGTTTTAACGTAGTGTCTTTCTTTCTTTGAGTCCTTTCTGTGTGTTTGTGTCTAAACTGAGGTCCAGTCTTCTTTCTTCCTAGTACTATTGAGGTCACATGTCCTACACTTGCCTCAGAGGGCTCTGTTTTCCAGAACAAGGGCTGTGGTGGTTAGAGCCCAGTGATTCAGTGGCGCGGTTCTGCATGGGGACCTAATCTGCGGGTCTTCTCAGGGTGGTGGTTTCTCTTGAATAAATTCCGAGCCTTCCATCTTAAATGACTAATTTGTCAGGGAGCGTTACCTGTGTGTTAACAAGGTGGCAGAAAATAAATGCTTTGTAAAAAGCAGACTTCTTAGGGGTCAACATCCTTCCCTCCATTTGATATTCTGATTGCCTTTTCCCCCCAGAGTCGTTCATCATCTCTCCTGAACCCTTAGACATTCCAGTACCTTACACAGGTTTACAGACTCGGACTTCCAATTGTTATATGGAGGAATGCTGCTCTCTTCAGCCTTCCCAGCCTCCCCCAAAGACCGCAGAGAGTCTCCTCTGTAAGGAGGACTGATGCCCACCTCACACCCACCCCCACCCCCTTCGGGCAAGTTCTTTTAAATTTTTTGACGGATTTTTCATTTTGTTGTAAGAGGAAAAGAGAAGGAGGTTGGGGTCACTGTGTCTGAGTGAATGCAGTTTTTAGCTAGCTCCCTTTGGTTCTTAGGAACCAGACCCTTCCTTCCCACGCATATCTGTCCTTGTCAAAGGTTATGGGAGATTCCAGGAAATCTCAAAGCTAAGATTGAGAATCTTTTCAGGGAAGTGATGTTTTGATAAAAGTACAACCTTAATCTCTACTTTCTTTTCAATTCCATTGACTCTGGCCCTCTGGACGTCCACTTCTTCCCTCTGTAAAGGTGATTGCCTAGGAGGTCCACCAATTCTGACTGGATTTAACTCCCTAGGGCTGGTGGTTATGGGAGGGAGCTCCACGGGCCATGTGAGAGCTGAGTCCCCAGACTCAGGAGGGGAGGTTGGGGGGATGGTATCTCCCTGGACATGCTGATGGCAGGACCTTCATATACCTGGCCCCTGGCCCCTCTCAGGCCCTCTTCAGCCCACAGAGGCCGTGTGTTGGGGATTTAGGGGGTTGGGAGCATCAGCATTCAACACAGCCAGAGGGCACACAACCCAAGACCCTGAGCTCCTCCAAAGGAACCCTCCCAAAGTCTGAGGAGGGGGACTTTTCTCACAGAAGAAGCCTGCGCACAAATGCCCTCCCTGGCTTCTGGGTTGAGACAGGTGGTGGCGTGTTCTCAACCCTCCACTGGGATCTCCTAGCAACTATCCAGGTCAGGAGAATTCGGGTAGTTCATCATCAAGCCACATGGAGCGTGCCTAGGAAGGTGATGGTCCCTGGCATGAGGCCACATGGGTCCAGGAACACCAGGCTGCCCTGAGATGGAGACTGTTGTTGTTGTTATGTGCCGTCGAGTCAGTTCTGACCCATAGCGACCCTGTGTACAGGGTTTTTGAGGGTGTAAATCTTTACGGGAGTAGAAAGCCTCATCTTTCTCCCGTGGAGTGGCTGGTAGTTTCAAACCGCTGACCTTAAGGTTCGCAGCCCAATTCGTAACCACTAGGGGGCTGGAAATGGCTTCTCCATGAACTGTTGCCTTAGGCTTGGTTCTTTAGAGAAGCAAAACCATGGTACAGAACCACAACTGCCATAGAATCAGTTCCAACTCGTAGCAACTCTACATAGGGTTTCCAAGGCTGGAAATCGTTACAGGTGTGGAACACCTCAACTTTCTCCTGCGGAATGGTTGGTAGTTTTGAACTGCTGACCTTGAGGTTAGCAGACTGACTCATAACCACTACACTACCAGAGCTCCATATATATATTTGTGTGTGTGTGGATATATATATATATATAATATAAAGTGCCAATGAGTCAATTTCAACTCATAGCAACCCTATGTAGGGTTTCTGAGGAGCGGCTGGTGAGTTTGAACTGCCAACCTTGAAGTTCAACTCTTGGGGCCCAGTGCTTATCCTGCAGTGCCACACCAGGACTCCTAATTGGTACTGTTGTTGATGTTAAGTACTGTAGAGTTGGTCCTGACTCATAGTTTCTCTACACAGGGTTTCTGAGGCTGTAAATCTTTATGGGAGTAGAAAGCCTCATCTTTCTCCTGTGGAATGGCTGATAGTTTGAAACTGCCGACCTTGAGGTTAGCAGCCCAATTTGTAACCACTGTGCTACCAGAGCTCCTTTAATTACTATCAGGAAAATACAATTATACACCATACAGCTACTAGGATGATTATAAGGAGTTCTGGTGTGGCGCAGTTGAATAAAAGTACTGGACCACAGGGTCGGTTTGAACTGCAAGGCTGACTGTTCAAACTCACCAGTCACTCCTTGCAAACCGTATACAGGGTCACTATGAGTGGGAACCGATTCAACGACACTTGACAACATCAACAACATATATATAAAGTTTGTATCAAGGAATGCCTCACAATTACAGAAGGTGGCAGAGTCCTAAGTCTGGGTCAGATGAACCAAGATCGCAGGCAGGAAGGTAGGCAGACAATTAGAGCAGGTCACTGGCTCAAGTCCAAAGAACTAGAGTTTGGAGGATGACCCAGATGCAACATCCACACCCAGCACAAAGTGAGCAAGCTTTGCCTGAGTGTGCATTATGTTGGAAACAGGCCATATCCCTGAGGAAACATCCTTTCAGTTGATTGGCTGCTCGTAGCCAATCATCATAGAATTAACTATGTCTGCCCATAGCCAATCATCATAGAATTAATTACAATGTATTAGATCATACAATGGGGACAACCACATTTCAACTACCAAGGCACTGGGACTCCTAGCCCAATCAAGTTGACACAAAGCCTTAATTATCACAACAGTAAAACCCTCCCATCCTGAGAGCACACAGTCAGCTGACTGCATCTGTGACCAGATTCAATACCACCTCAATCTGTTGCTTACTCTTCAGGT